TCTACTGAAATAAAAGACATTAATGTAGTACGTAAAGATTGTTAAAGTTTCAAAACCTACCATTCACTGCCTAGTCCATGCAGTCCATATATGGAAACTAAGCTACAAATACAACCAGTCTGTCATGTATTGCCAACTCATTTACATATATCTGCCTATTCAGCTTATAGAAGTTTAACCCCACCCATTCATGCTGAAGTTATAAGGAGTGTTTCTGCCTGGACTGCTTTTTGAATGAGGCACTTCTGTGCATCATACCAATACGGGGAATCAGATTTTATTTTAAATTATATATCAGTCAGAAACAAAAACACCCTGTTTAATCCTAAGAGATACAGAGAGGCTGGACATGGTAATTTGAAAATGAATTATGACTGTTTTAATCATATAAACTCACACAAATAAGTGGACCACAGGAAAAATAATAATAAATCACATAAAAATATAAGACATGGGCTCTGTAATGGAGGCAGCCTAAATTCAGGCCAGAGGTTCAAATAAAAACCTGATCCTCACACTAAACACCCCCCTACACACACGCGCACACACACACACACACACACACACACACACACATACACTCAAGCTGTGTCTCTTACCCTGACACAGACATACACACAAAACTACACACTTGCACCCAGACCCCCCCCACACACACCCCCAACGGCCCATTCAAATCTTTCTCCCACACTTGTACCCAGACACCCTGCTACTTCTCCTAAATCCAAGTCTACCACCCCCACACACTTGCACCCAGACACCCTTCTGTCTCCCCCCAACTCTCTCATAGCCCTGACCAGACACCCCTCCGACCCCCCAACAAACACACACAGACTCCCTCCACCCCTTAATTGTGAATATATTACACTAATAGAACAGCCATTGGCAGACGCCTTCTGTCTGGCCTAGTCTTACTCTATGAGCACAGCAGACTTCATTTATACTTATGCAGATGTTAGAGATTTATTACATATAGCAGCTAACCTGCTACAGGCACAAGCCTCGACTGAACTGAAAAAAAGTGCCGCACTCCATTTGCTTGACTCAAATGTGTACATGAATAAAATATGAAACCACATTTTTGTCTTCATGTACTTTTTGCAATAACTGTGCTGGTGTAATATACTTTATTCATGTGGAAATGATGTACAGTCGCATGCAAAGGTTTGAATGTCCCTGGTCAAACTACATTTTCCTATTTTCTAAGTGAAAATTCTAAGTGAAAGTTAATACATCCTCTACAAGTAACAGACTTCAATATGGTGTTTTTCTGCAAATTTTCGTGCATGATTTCAATTTATTTGTGTAAAAACTTTTGCACATACATTATTTTATGTTTTTAAATATTTGTGCCTTAAAATGTGCAAAAGTGTGTTTAAGTAGGTTTTAACTAACTGTCACGTAGAAAATCAACAACACATCAATTCATCCTTGGTACTTTTGCACATGCAAGATTTACTTTTTCCCAAAATGATAAACTCAGCAAATAAATGGTACATGTGCATAGAATTTTCCAGAAGTATATTCCATGTAGAGTGGTAATGTGTTTTCACTAAGAAAATCAAAACATATTATTTGAACAGGGATGCCTGAACTTTTGCACATGCCACTTTATCATGTTTTATTTTTCCCCAACAAGTTAAATTTAGCAAATAAATAGCAAATGTGCATTAAAATGTGCAGAAGTGAATTCTCTTATTTTCACTCAGAAAATCAACAAAACATTTAATTTGACCATTGGTTTGCAACAGCGACATCATTTGAATGAATTAAATGTAATGCATCACTTTTTTGTGTACAGTACTGGACGTGTCTTTAATGTTGGATCAGACTGTCTGCCACACTGACCTTTCTGCAGTTAAACGTGCTGGTACTCTGGAGGCTACAGTAATTAATAGGGATGTAAATCAGGGACCTTCCAACGATTTGATTCAATCACAATTACAATTCTTTGGGAAATTATTCAGTGCATCATTAAATTTCAGATTTCACCAAGATTAGATATGATTTAATTATTTTAGTATGATGAATAATTTTATAAGTATCACTGTATATTGTAAGAACAAATAATTGTGATGTGAAGAATTACTCACAAAGCACTGGAATAAAGACAATAAAACACATCAAGCTTGTTTGGATTTTTACATTTGCCAGAGGTTGTTATTTTGGCCAAAAAGTGACAAAAAGAAAAATTCAATATTATGATATCATTCTTTCTGACATTCCAAATGTATGCACCACTTTTAGAGTGATGTATCATTCTCAGGCTATTTTTTACTGTGAAAAGGCCAAAACCAGCCATGCTTTGTTTTTAGTCTACTGTGTAAATAGTTCTTTTGAGTATTTGATTATTCACTGTATTTTACAATAATTCTGCATTTTACACTCCTAGTGATTAATTATATGCTGAGAAAAACTAGGAAGGGGCTTTTGCATGGATGGAGAATTCTTTCTTTACTAAGGATTAAAACACAAATACGTTAGGCACTTCAAAAAGAGAACACTTGCTTTTATTAGGAGATTATACGCTGTACCACTGACGTCTTTAGATCAGACGTTTAGACTTCGTCTGCTCACTTTAACAGCATAATTGTCATGAAAAGACTCCCGTCATACATTCATCTTTAGCTGCACTGAAGAACGTGATGCATAGAATTTACTTAAATCAAATGTCCGCATGAATAAAATACAGTACTGTGAAAAGTCAATTTAATTATGGTATAAGTGTTTATTTGATCAGAAAAATACTAATATTTGAATAAATACAAATAGCATTAATGAGTAGTGATTTTACGTATGTTAATGTGTTAAAACGTTCCATTTCCAAACTTTCAAGCCTAGCATTATTTATAGTTATCAATCAGTACCTCGTTTGGTTAATCAATGCTTCATCATATTAAATCAGCTGTGCTGGTGACGGATTTGAAGAAACCAATGAGACAGCTGGGAGCATTGAGGAGAAATCTGGAGCCAAACTTTGTTCCTCAAACAAGCTCACAAAATATTAATTTCCTTTTAGAAAAGGAGAAATTATTGTTCCTTTTAACAATATTAATATTTGCTTGCATTTACTCTAAAGGTGTTTTTTTACTAACAAAACCACATTTACTGTCCAGATAAATGGCTTTAAACTATGTGCTTAGGTGCCGAAGACTTTTGGACAGTGCTCCTATTACTACATCACAACAGCCTTTCAAATTAACTTTTGGCAATAAAAGTGTTGATATAATGTATTTATTCATGCAGAAATTATGTACACATTTCAATCAAGTCAATTCAATGCATTCCTTTGTTCAGCAAAGCTTTCATGACATAAAGACAATTGAAAAGGCAAATCTTACACATGTGCCAGTACTGTCTGAAGTTTGAGTGCACGTGTGGGTGCTTGTGTCTGTACGTCTAGTTTTGCTGTCCCACGGGCCGTGTTAGTTTGGTCCCAGTGGATTTAATTTCGTCCCCAATACCCCCCCGCACACTCCCGAAATGAGAGGTCACACAGAGGATCCAGACAGAGTGTGCGGTGGGGCCAGACAGTCTGTGCAGTGACCTGTGCCTAAATAGAGACTTAGAGGTCACCAAGTGAGTCTGTGGGTGTGTGTGAATGGAGACTATGATATCATGATTTTCTGATGATATGTGGTAACTTTTATTTCAAAAACAGGTGAGATGGTGCAGTGTTGTTGACCACACCACCTTAGCGAAACTGCCTTATTTTGCTTATATGGCATTTTCCTGTCATTCCATGCACAATTTCTACCTAGTTTAACATATTGGGAAAGATATACAGCATAAAATGTGACATTCTTTTTGCACACTTTCTGTTTTTTTCCCCCAATATGTTTAGTCCAGCAAATAAACAGTAATTCTGCACTAAAATATGTGTTCAATGTAGAGGATGTGTAGCCTACTTAGTTTCACTTCAACACAATATGCAATCTGACCACAGTGACCAAACGTTGGCACAGGTAAAAGTTCTCAAACAGAACATCATCAACGCCTGTCGTGCCAACCTTTAACAAAAAGACCCCCTAAAATCACAATCTCTACAACTTAAAAGTGACTTCAGAAAGAAAGGTTAGCATAGGTGCTCAAAGCATAAGCCCCGCCCCTCTCTGCCCACTTTACTCTGATTGGATACAGCCAAACGCCTACTTTTGATCAGTGACAGTGGCAAATAACAGACCCTTGGAAAAGACTGGGGGGTGTATTTAGGGTTGCAGTTTCAAATAGTATTTGTTTCACTTATATAGTGTTTTTACTAGCAAAACATTAATTTCCTGCCCAGATAAATTGTTTTAAACAATTTTCCTGGCTGGTCTTTTACACTGTGCTGTGTATGACAGGCACTTACAGTCATATGCAAAAGTCTGAACACCCCTGGTTACCAATTCTCTAAGCAAAAATACTCTACTTTAAATACCAAATGATTAAATATTGGATTTTTCTGCAAATTTTATTGCACAGTTTCTATTTAATTGCTGATTTCAACATATTGGAAAAAAAAAAAAAAACGTTCAGTATAAAATGTGCCAGAACATTTGAACAGGCCTCATTCTGTCTGATATGCCAAATTCAACAAATAAACAGTAACTGTACATTACAGCATTAATGTAAAACATTAAAACATATGCATATGACTGTTTTTAGGCCAGTAAAATACACTCATAAGCAGCTGGACTGATTTGATGACAACTTAACAATGAAAACATAAGCAATATCAGGGAATAGTCTTTTTATGTGTAATGTTCACTGAGGTCTGCAAATAATTCTTTAACCAGTAAAAGTCCACACAGTTGCTGTAATAACAAAATTGTGGTGTGTTTAAATGCTAGTGGTGGTATTTGAAAGCCTCCATTGTTGCTGGGCCACAAACTAGCCTGAAACTTGCACCAGTGCCTGTATGAAATAAACTATTAAAATGAGTCTGTCTGATACAATGACCTCATTCTGTTACCCAAATGAATCGCTCACGTCGGACTGTTTTGCTTCCTTACCCACAGATCGCTCACTGAAGGGATGCTGAATTAAGACTGAAGAGTAGACTGACCGGTCCTTCTGGAGAGAGAAAAACAGCACTGAACACAGTGACAATGCTGATGACAGTGATGTCCGACAGCTCTTGTTCAGGCCCGGCACTGGCAGAAGAAAACAGCTATCAGACGTGCACTGCAGGACTGTGTTGAGTTTTTGTGAAATGTACACAACCTCAAAAATGAGTTTCTGTTGAATGTCTTACCTTTGCTGCTGAGGTTCTTTCGATTTATACCTAAACCTAAAGTCTGGATATTTCATGACATTTCTGTTGCAGTGTAAACAACAGAGGACTGTGGACAATCTGCAAAAGGTAAGTAGACAAAAAGAGGTAAGTGAGATACATGCACAAATCTATTGTTAGGTTTTTGTTTTTGGAATGTTCATACTCAGCACCAGCTTATGTATATGTATTTTATATAATATTAAGGAATAATGTTTACATGTGGCTATTTCTATATAACTCCATTATGGTGGTACTTCTGAATGCTTTTAGTTCTTGCTGCCTCCTCAGCACATCAGTAACAGTAAATATATCATACATAATCGCATCGCTGTCCAAAGAAAGACATGAATCTCCAAAAGAGCAGCTTTACAGGAGAAAGGGAAACATTCTTAACTTTTAATGTAAGGACTGTTCAGAGGTTTTAGTCTAATTCATTTTGGCTCATTTCTACTGGTCCACTCACTGTAAAATTTTCAAACATTGTAAAAGACAACTGCTGTGTTCAAATGATATAGAAAAATAAAAACTGAAACATTTTTTGAACAGTGATGATAAAAGCTTCTTTTAAAATTTCTGTCTTAAACCTGTTTTCAATAAAGTTTGGAATAAAGATTCTGCAGTGTGTGCTTCTGTTCATTTGAATAAAAGGGAATATGTAAAGGGAAAAAATATAAGTACATGAAAAATGGTTAGGCAGTATGATGACTGTAATTATTCCAGTGTGAATCAAATTGGAATGGATATACAGCATGTAGTATGTATTATGTAAATCAGTACTAGTCAAAAATCCTGTAATGCACCCCAGTGTGTGTGTGTGTGTAAAAGGAAAGAGGAGATGAATATGCCTTGAATAACACTTGTTCAGGCTCACTGCTCTCCTCTTGGGTGGGCTTGCTAAATAGGCCCAAAGTGCACTGAACTGGTTGAGTGGGGTAAGCACTTGCATCTGGTTTTAGACACGCACATAGACTATACCCACACACACACACACACACACACCCTACATTAAAAGACAGCATGAATCGCCATACTTGGTCTACTTGGTTAATCTTGTTAGGATCTGAGTGGCAGTGTTCACCCAAATAAGGTTTATTTATCCTGACTAAATTAAAGCTGCTGGGCCTCTACTGTGATGGGCTCTGAACAAAGTTTGGTCAGACTTTTCAATGGGCTAATTTGATTAGCAGAAGAAAGGATTAGAGGCCTGTTTGATCAACTCCTAACAAATTATGGAGTTGAAATGAGCACAAAAACAGATTAAAAGAAAAAAAGAGAATACAGAAAAGATACAATAGAATTTATCACAGGATTTCTACAACAGTCTTATAATAAACTTGGACACAGATTACAAAACCACAAACGTGTTATAGACAATACTATAAGAACACTACACAAAGTGAAAAACCACACCAAGTTAGATGTAACTAACTAATACGTTATAGCTACAGCATTAAAGAAATTTCTTATAACTTAGTATTTCTTTCCGTGAAAGGGATATAATTTGTATGGGGTATTAAACGAAAAAAATCTCTCCTGTGTAATTTTAGTAGGCTGTTGATATTTCTGTTAGCATCTTTAGCGAACCATATTCCGTTTATAAGCCTGCTAGCAGGTTTTAAGTCGCGTTCAGGTCTTTTTTTTTCATTTGTAGAGGAAAAATAATATCTATAAGAAATTTGTATTCTTGTTTTCCGTTAATTTCATGGAGATTAAGTGTATGTGGGAGAGGTGGAAACGTCAAACTGGTAAAACTGCAGCGTAACACATTTCAGTTCATTCAGGGGAAAGAAGAAAATAATGTGAAAACTTACTAACGAACAAACCGCCGTGCACTGTCACCTTAGAACTGAAAACAGCGCCTGACGAAAAAGCAGGAAAGTTCAGAGAAAATGTCGAAATTATTGAATTACTTTGTAGGAGATTCAAGATAATTTTTCCAAATCTGGAAAGAATTTAAAAAACGAGAAAAGTGGAGCCCATTGGACACGAACGCATTTACACCAACAAGCAGCAGCTAACTGTATCGACAGGGGACCTTAGCGGGACTTTTAATTACTGCCAAAATTTAATGCGTTTTTAAAAATCTGATATATAATAATTTAAAATTAGGTTAAACAATTACCAAAAGAACCACACTCATTATGCTTTCCACAGTGTTAAAATGTTCCCATTACGGATAAATGATTTAATATATATTTATACATATATACATATTTAAAGAAACACCATTTATAAGGCTTTTATTAAAATAATATATAATTACACTATGATTCATTTTCTATGAACATTTCATTATTAGGGGTATGCTATAGAATAGCCTTTCGTAAATTAGTGGAAAATTAGCCATTTGGCTAAATCTGGCACATTTTACGTCATGAAACAATGATGCTGATAACTGCGCACTGTCACTGTTCAAAAACAAATAAAGTAAATATTTTTTCCTCAAAAAAAAAACAAGGTAATATTTTACACGTTTCCTCTAAATTACCACATAAAATTTCTCACACCTATTGTTCATAACCACACACCCTCTTTAAGGCAAGAACAACACTATGGCAGGTTTTGCCCACTGGCCTTTCAAATGGGCAAAATGGAGACTGTTTACCTCTCAGCCAGGCCACGCCCTCTAATAATATTCCCCAATCCCCTGTATGCCCAGGTTTTACATCACTTCCACATCACTTCCTGAGCAAAAGATGAACCAATAAGCCACATCATGTGTTACTGTAGGGTGAAGACGGGTGCAGTGCTGAGATGTGAAAGATCAGATGCTGAGAAATGCAGCTGCACAATTGATAATACAGTGTGGTTCTCATGTCATTTCCACACTGGGGTTGACCAATAGCCCCCCTTACATCTTACACAGTAAATTACGGTGGAGGAATATCAATTTGTGGAACACTCCCCCCTAAAAATAACAGTAAGAGACCCTTATACAACAGTAGCCTCTTTTTCTAAACACCTTTAAATTTACATCTCATAACCAGGTGATCAGCAGAAGGCCTCCATCAGCATGTTCGTCAATAAAAGTGGAGATATTTCTATTGATATAGAATAATATGATTGAGAGAAAAAAAAACATTATAATAGTAAGAGATATATTAGTATGAGATCTATTATAATGGCACAACATACCTTTCCATTCTCCTCAGATAAAATGAGGCTTGTTTAGTTAGAAGGGAAGATGCAGTGGGGGAGATGGCGCATGTGTATGTGGGCATGTGACCCGTCCGCAGTGCTGTAAATTATTCATGAGAAATTTGAATACATGCAAATACATTTTCCCTTCATCTGGCACCGTTCCAAGTACCTATGGCAACCGCATCCTCTGGCTCCACCCACTGTATGCCCTGTGGTGTGCATAAACCCACCCCCACACAACAACAGCTTCTAGCTCACCTCATCTTCTATGCCCTATACCTTTGTTCATTCGAAGGATCCCTGAAGTTAAGGCTAAAATGGGAGCCCAATTAATTTGAGGTAAATTAAAAGAAATTCAGAGCTGGTTGGAGGTTTTTTGCGCTGCATCTTCTATTAATACACCACTTACCTCCATATTTGACTTCTAATAATATCTGCTGTACCCATCAGGGAATATGAACTGACCAGACAGAGTAAAGCAGTAACACATGGCCCGTTCTGGCTGCACATTTAAAATGGACTGAACATAATGACTGACCACATATAAACATACTACATTATCATTATAAGCTTCAGCAGCAGTATTGAGTACCATCTCATACACCTACGCCAGCAGTTCAGTATGGAGCATTCAGGAAGGTCTACGTGAAGGTCAAGTTCAGGTCACAGGCAGAAACAAGGGTCCACTTATCGTTCACTGTTATGGAGCGCCATCTAGTGGCATATTGGAGAACACGTTATATGTGAAAAGCATTAGCAGAAGCCCTTTTTTTTCTTCAGTTTAACTTTGAATTGTCCAAGGGGAACTCCATCGATTTTTCAAAATTTCTATATGATTAAATGGTTGAGATGTAAACAAAAAGTAATTTAGAGTGGTTTGGTGTGAAATGCTCCGTTCTGAAGAAACTTGTCGAGTCAGAATTGTTTACAGTGGTAGTGATAGGAACCAGACGTCTGAAGAGTTTGATGTCTCTAAAAGCTCCCTCACAGAAAGTTATTACATTATATGGTTTTGAATACACTGTCTGATGTCTGGGACATTGTTTTATGACAGTTTTGTAATAACATTTTAGGATAAAATTAATTTTAATCCATTCATGGCGGAGGGGTATATGCAAGGGCATTTTGAGGCAAAATAGTCCCCAAAGAAAACTTATATTTTTAGTTTTATGACTATCTTACCATCATTAACATTACAGGTAAAAACTCAGAAGGCAAATGTAGGTGCACTGGTGCTTCTGGATAGTAAATAAAATGGCTATATTTGTGTTGTAGATATCGGGACTAACGGGTGGTTCCTTTCACCTCCACTGTAAAGCAATCAGAATCAGTTTTTCTCTGCAACTGAACCATTTCACATCAAGACTTTGTTCATATCTCAACCACTAAATTGCACAGAAATTTTGAAAAATTGGTGGAATTGCCTATTAAGTTATTTTGACCTGCTAATATTGTACTTCTGCTCAAGCTGTTCCTTGGAAAGGTACTTTTAATTTTACCTGAGTCATTATTTCACTGAAGTAACAGTAATTTGAGTCCACAACATATGATACTATGTACAAATGGATAATGAGCGTTTTTCAAGCTTAAATATATTAATTTGAAGCTCACCATTAACTTAGTACATGTTTTTCATCGCAAGGAAAGAAAGAATGTTTTTAGATATATTCTTTAAGAATACTTGCATGTTTAAATATTCATGCAGACCATTATGAAGATCCATCTCAAGTATCACTAAAAGTATTATGAGTCCTTCAGCATGCCCATATGTGTGTTTCCACATTAACATTACATATATAGAGAATATCTATATATATAGAGAGAGAATATGCTAAACACGGTGTGGAAAAAATCCCTGCAGATTTCTTTGAAAAACTGAATTCAAGTCTCCTGAAAAGACCAGAAGAGAAGCTATAATAAAGGCTGAGGGCTGAGACACTAAATACTAACATTGATATTATATTTAGTTGTCGAGAATTCTGTGTAGTCTTCTGTTTTTTCTGACACTTAACTTGTACATATATATGAATTTAAATTATATATACTTTTTTAAATATCAGCTTCACTTATGACATTTTGAACTTTGTAGTTCTACAATTACAGACTGTACTCTATCTGTTTCTGCATACATTGTTAGCCCCCTTTTACCCTGTTTTTCAACGACCAGGACCCCCACAGGACCACCACAGAGCAGGTATTATTTGGGTGGTGGATCATGCTCGGCACTTCAGCACTGCAGTGACACTGACGTGGTGGTGGTGTGTTAGTGTGTGTTGTGCTGGTACGAGTGGATCAGACACTCAGACGCTATTCTATGTATACACACACACACACACACACACACACGTGACTGAATCTGTAATTGTGAAAGTCATAAAAAGTGACGTATGACAGGTTTTTTTGTTACTCAACCACCACTACAGGAAAAAATTGCTCCAAAAATAGAATATCTAATCTTAAATCCAATCACAAGTTCAAGTTAGGGTTTCAGTCTTTTTCATAGCAACTGCTTATTTGTGCTGTTAATAAAAACATGTAACAGAAACAGTTTTAGGAGATATGTTCTTGCAAAATACAGAAAACTAAATACAGAGGCACTGAGTTTAGTGTAAAGGGTGTTGGATGTTCTGGTATGAAATTAACCCCTTTTATAACAGGGGTGTAAATGTACACCTTTCATAATTAATAACCATCACTGTGCTCCAGTCTTTGGTAAACTGAACAAAGGCAAACCCACTTAACTGTGGTCAAGTGGGGACATCTAGTGGATGGTATACTAATTTAAGTGCAACAATCATTAGAGATGCATGTGCTTATGATAAATGATTTGGTTGTGTTTCATTAGCTCATTTGAGTGAATCAAGTCATTTTAACTGATCTTAGCACAATATGAAGTAATCAATACAGTGGTACATGAAATATTTGAAATAATTGTCAGTGTGCATGAATTTCAATAGGATAATCAATCTGGGCAAATTTTTAGCAACACCACCAACACACAGAGATTACAGTCTCATTAGTTTAATGTACATTCACTTGGCACAATACCTTAAAATTTACAAAACCAGTCTTAAAGCCTCAAAATCAGTCATCTTAGTGAGAGATTAGATCAATCAACTTGGGGAAATCACCAACATCTGAAACAGCGAGGTTATTACAGACAGATGAATGATTAACATCACCATCAAGTGAGTTTACCGATACACTGTAAAACCTCTCCATCCCTAAAGAGTGGCATGGTTATATTTAAAGCATTACATATAATTGTAATGACAATATTAGAAAAACGTTTAATAGGCCTCTTGGATGTGCAGACTAAAAGCCAAAAAAATACCACTACACGAGATAAAACAAGTCCACGATTCATGAACTGTGCTTTGGTGTAAGCGTGATTGTCTGTTAGTAGGACTGTTATGTTAAGGGAAGTTTTTAAAATGACATTTTCATTTCATTTTTTTCAACAATCAACTCTGACCTCCTTGACAATATTTGTGCGGATGGGACAATGGTCAAGGCTCATAGAGTACATCATAATACTAGCCACTGAATGACAGTGGATTACAGATGGAAGTAAATGAGAGCAGATCATGTTAATAGTCCACAATAGCACTCCATCGGAAGGCTGAGATGAGTCATATGAAGTCTCTTAAGTTACCAAAAATATACCAAATGCAAAAGGTGTTATTTGCACTGTGTTACCCAAACCCCAAAGAGCAAATTGCTGAAACTTGCACAATAATAAATCATGCAGTTACACTGAATACCACCACACGGTGCGCTCACCATAAACATGAGCTTTTACCTATTGCACTAATACTGACAGTTTTAAAACACTGTCACATGGTACTTAAGATGAGTCGTTACTGAGAGAAGCACTAGTGTGAGTTTTGATCGTGGTACGTCTTCCTGTTCTATCATTGTAGGCACTTAGTATATATTCACTTTCAGCTTTAAATGCTGCAGCCATATTTGTTCAACAATGAACACACAAGCACTAGGACAGATGGGTTTAAGCACCGTTTGATAAGTTCCCTGCTCAAACACAAAAATTAACTGCAGAAAATAACTGCAATTATATTACTGCATATTGCAACTATGATATCCTTTACAATATATTAAAACCATACTGGAGAACTATTAAAGGAAAAATCTGCTATTTTTCAACCTAATCTGCATCTGCTATATCTGTAGCATACAGTCAATTACCACAGATACTAATTTCAACACATTTCCCTTACTTCATAAATAGCAGAAAACCAGTTAATTTGCAACTAAATTACAATAGAAGTCAATGGGCAGACGCTTCAGCTTTATATTTTATCTACATATAGGAAACTTACTTACTTAGACTTACTGTCTGTGCTACGTTAAGTGTATTATACAAATAGATCAGGCATACTAGCAGTTACGTTAGGCAGATTAGATAAGAGATTAGGTTGAAAAATATTGAAATACCTCTTCAATGTAATATAGCTAAAGGCTGGCCTACACTATTTTGGCCAACGCTGGCCAAATTACTATTAATAAATTACTGGAATTTGTTGGATGACAAAAGTTCCTTGGTTCACCCAAGAATGCTAAAACACAAAGTTGAAGCACCTGCCCACTGGCTTCTATTATAAAACAGCCTTAAGTTAAATGGTTTTAAGAACAGGAAAAGAAATTGCATTGAGGGTACAGCAAAAGTTTGGGTGCCCCTGGTCAAATGACATTGAAAACATTGAAAACCTATCCTCTACAGAGAACACACTTCTGCACATTTTAATGCTGTTTGTTTGCTTAATTTAACAAATTGGGGAAAAATATATGACATAAAATGTGGTCTCTGCAAAAGCTATAACATTTCATTTTTCTCAATATGCTAAACAAATAAATACTAATTGTGCACTGACATTTGCAGAAAAGTGCCATGTTCAAGTTGTAGAGGATGTGCTTATTTGTAGGATGAAAATGCTGTATTAACAGTTCACGTATATGGCTGAATACAGGTATATCTCAATTGCAATATTCAGCAATGTAACTGCAGTTAAGATATATTGTATCTGGGACGTGAAAGAAATGGTCAAGATGATGACATCACACAAGTAAACAACATTTAATGATTTGTTCAAAGGCTCATTTGCATATCGCAAGCCTTGGGAATATCACTACTGCAAAGGCAAATATCACAGTAACAATATAACAAACAATATATTGCGCACCCCGCTACTTAGTTGAATCAGGTGTGCTTGAGGAGGGAAAATGACCAAACTGCGCTGGACAAAAGTCCTCCATGACCAAAGCTGGAGAACTTTGCTTAAGTATGCACCATAGCGTTCCTTATATTTATAGCCCAGGCAAGAAAGCGACACACAAGGGTAAAATGAGGACACATTCCAGTAGAACCAAACAAGCATGCTTCTCTCAGCAAGACACTGACCCAAACAGCATTTCCACTGCCCTCACTTGAGCACACCTGGTCAGCTCACTGCGCACACACACGTATACACACACACACACACACACACACACACACACAGATACGCACCTGCCCAGACCACTCAGTGGTAGCTTGAGCGGCTACACTTATAGCACAGGCTAAAGATAGAAGCAGCCGACAGGCCGACAGTGGACAGCAAGCAACTTCAAACTTCCTCTGAAGCTTTCTGCTTTAATATAGAGACTTTATTGCAGACTCTCTATGAACATATATGGGTACATTTGCTTCCGCTATCCTTGGTTTACCTCCAACACATACAGGTGTGTGCAAAAGTTTGAGTGCCCCTGGTCAGATGACATTTTGTTACGTTTTGTTAACACATCCACTACAGAGAACACACGTCTGTACATTTTTATGTGCAATTAATTTGCTGAATTTAACACATTGGAAAATAACATACGGTACCACTTTAAAATAAGACTACGCTTATAAAGAGTGTATGAATGATTTAAAATTGTTAATGTTGTGTTATTAATTAGGTCATAAACACTATTATTAATCAGTAACATTTTTAACATTATTTATTACACATACATAAGGGTAATCTGATGCTGGCCAAACAGTGAGCCCACATCTATGCTGTTAAACCTTAGATCTCACATTAATAAACAGATTTTAAACCATTTATAAATCCTTTACAAGGGCACTCTTTTTTGTAAAGTGGTATCAATCATACGATGAGGCCTGCGCAAAAGTTATGGCTCATTTTACATGTCATGATCTAACTCAAGTAGATGTTCCATTTAAGGAGTGTTAACTTAATTTCACTTAGAAAATCAACAAAACAATTTCACCAGGGGTTGTTCAAAATTTGGCATACAACTGTATGAATTTTAATTGATATGAAAGTACACTGACTGTAGATGATGAAAAAAACAGGCAATGTTTTTGTTTTTTTTGTTTTTCCCCCTAAACTCAACATAAATCAATCCTTAGTTACTCAATCAAGGCAGCTCAGACGCATTGGACGTCACAAGGCAGAGGGACGATGAGGAAGCCATGTTTAAAAAGGACGAGCGCAATATAAGGAGCAAGAAAAGACGCAGAAAACACAGGGCCTTTCCATGCCGATGGCAGAGTGATATGGGTATGAAAAGAACATAGATATATTGCACTTAAAGGATACCCTGCAAGTTGCTGTGCTGGGACACTTGTGAGACGGCAGTGTGAAGGGGGGCTTACAGAGGACATAACATTCATTTTGCCTCTGTCCGTACCTCGCTCTGACTCACACACACATGCGCACACACTCACACACATAGTGTGTACCAACGGCTTCCTCAGAAAACAAAATCACTAAAAAGGTCTCGAAGTCCTGCTAGTGCAAAAACATACAGTTCCGCAAACTTTCAGTCTAATCTCTGTGCCTTGTGTCAGTTAATTAAAAATGACCCTATTTGCTCCACTGGCAGCATATGCATGAAATTAGCAGTGTCGCTAATGAAATCTTTCCCTTTGCTCATGGCAACATGGGCAGAAAGAAGTTTTCTGTCCGATTTCCACCTCCGCTATAGGCAGAAATCTATTTCACAGTTTAAGTCTTACCCCAAACCCTTTAAAAGTTTTTTTGTCTATATGTCCTTGTGTTTCCCTGCTAAAATTTCACTTTCTTCTCTGCAGAGGCTGCTGCTCTGTGGCTCTCCGTCACCCCTCCAGGCTATCGTGAGCTATAGCCCACTTTGCGAAGGAAGATCTGTGTGAGGTCGAAGGTCATAAAGCTGATTCCTACAGCAATGGGCCCCTTGACCCAGTTCATGCTCAGGCCCTTGTACAGGCCACGGATGACGCCCTCCTCGGCCATGATCTCCCGCATGGTGCCCAGGATGGTGCCGTACATGTGGCCCGTCACACCAGCCGTCTGCATGCGCCGACGCACCACATCCAACGGGTAGGAGGCCGACTGGCCAATCAGGCCGGCGCATGCCCCAAATGCAAGCCTCTCGTAAGAGTACGGCTGGGCTCTCCCTGTCTTCTCTGATAGAGAGAGAGCAAGAGAGAGAAATTAGAGCTGAACAAAAGAGCATAATTGCAGCTAAATAAACACCAGAGCTGCAACTGTTGGTTGATGAAGTCAATACATGCAAACTCATGAAGAGTGAAAAAGTTCAGAATCCAAACCCCTGTAGGGGAGGTCCAGAAGCATCGTTCCACAGGAGAAAAAAATTTTACAATGAGGAAAAAGAGACTCCCAAACCAAAATAATCCTTAAATTAAAATGTCTTTACTGTATTGAGTAATACTGTTGGACTGTTAAAAATGCCCAAAAAAGCCACTGACCTGAAGAAAGCAAAAGCCAGTATTTTTTAGGTCATTTTTTACAGTCTAGGTAGGACATGTCAATACAATAAAGACATTTTAATTTAAAGAGTGTCTTGGTTTGGAGAGCTTATTTGTCTCTTTTTTTTCTCTCTTTTTCCTTTGACACCAAAGAGCACCCAACTCAACATTTACAACAATTTTTTTTTCAATATCGAGAACACCTACAACTATCATTCTAAATAATTTTTACACTTGAAATGAAGCACTCTGATACTGAAATACAGGGAAACAAGAAATGCTGTAGAATGAATCAGTTCACTGAGTTCAACAACTTTGCAAATACAAGTAATGTCAGAGTCTGTACTGCTTTCCAGGTATTACTTATTTGTTTAAAATCTGTTGCTCACCATAATAAAGTCAAAAGGTTAGTCTTTATGACGGTTGGTGGAGGTCTACCAAATTCTGCACTCAACAGAAGCCATTCTAAAAACTCTGTCCATCATTTGTGTCTCCTATAGCATCTGCTATAGCAAATAGGTGCTTGGACTCCTGTGATTACTGCTTCCATCTGTTTTTTTTCCAATAGCTCTAACAGTTGCTATAGAAATCTGTGCTTCCTATGAATTTTAAACGTTGCATCCGACTGTCCTGGCTGCAAACAACAATCAGATTAAACCTAGTCAGCTGGATAATCAGTAGCATTTGAAAACTAATAAAAGGTTGGGGTATTATTTTTACTGACTATGTTCCACTACTTTGCCAATAGTCCTTCCAGTCATATTTGTGTATTTGACTTATTTTTAAAAATAATTCTGATTCATACCAAAATAATCATTAAAACAAGTTGTGGTAAAAACTTCCTGAAGTTCCTAAAGAACTGCAATCAAATCACTATGTGTTCTGAGATTTATGGTCATACTCTATAATGTTCATGTGATACACATGGCCATTCTGACAGACTGAAATACACTACAAGACAAAAAATGCTCTGAACATTTGATTAGTCTATTAATCAATCAATAGTCCATAGACAAATTTATTATAGAAATAATGGAGCACTTCCATTTCTTACTTGCTGAGAAAACAATACCAAACAAATAGCTTTACCAAAACCTTAAATACAAATGCTTCATGGTCACTTTTACAAAGTGAGTGGTCACAGCTTGCAAAAGAATGTCACTGCAAACTGTAATCTGATGCAAAGTTTCTCTACACAGAGTGGAAAAAACTAGAAAAGCCAGTATGAGTACGTTTTTCACTGAGTGACAGTGATATGAATGTTGGGGGAGGTCTTGGCTGGTAAAGTTGTACAGAAATGTGTATACAGTATGTATCTGACACACACTGCAGTAAAGCAGAATACCTGCATGGAGTTTTTTAAGCGTTTCATAGGTAAAGAAGCTGAGTCCTGCATAGGGAACCACTCCCAGTATTGTCGGGGTGAATCCTCTGTAGAGTGTCTTCAGACCCTCCTCACGGGAGATCCGTACAAACACATGCAATATATTACTGTACCTGAAAAACACAGGCCAAAAACAATATTAACCACCAATCAAAATCAGTTGCTCCATTTAATTTTAAAATACTGCTGTTAAATAATAATACAGAATAGCACAGCAGCATTGAAGGAAATCATATCTACTTCAGTCATAGCTAAGTGCTTATTCCTCTGTTGAATACGGAACAGAAATAGCTAAACATATTTGAATAAAATGAGGAAAAAAGGCTCAACATTAAGCGTTTACAATAGACAAAATTTCCTAAATCCTTCTGTGCCTAACACAGAAAGCTACTGTGGACAAATTAGCATGACTAGCATAATGCTTAACAATCCACCACCAACATTCATTCATTTTTAGCAGTTACTAGCTACTATTTTTCAGAATGGGTACCCCTTTAAGGATCAGTGTGTCTTACATTTCTTTCGGTGTGACAGCCATCCGGGCACGGACCATGTCCAGTGGATACGTAAGCATGGCCGCAGTGGTGCCAGCTAGCGAGCCAGCCAAGAGTCGTGGGACAGGAGGCAAAGCCCTGCAACAGAGAGCAGACATGGCATTGAGTGCTAGGCACCAAGGCACTGTATGCCATGACAACCAATTTATGACATATCCAACCAACTTATTTACAAGATTAGGTGAAACAGGATGCAGGATATGGACAAAACACTAGTATTCTGATTATACTGGTACATACTGTGATTGCAATCAGCCTTGAAAATGCGATCAAATTAAAGACTGGCCCTATTTTGATGGAAATGATAATATTGTGCTGGATTACCTGACACTTTGTTTCATCCAAATACATACAGAAACACTGTAGAGAACTGTGATTGGTCAGGATGCTTACAGCACATAGTAAAAAAAACACTGTGCTTGGTTAAAGTGCTTATTTGCATACAGCAGCCTTCTGTGATACCAATAAGGCCAATACAACATCATAATTAACAAACAATATACTGTGCAGAGTAGGCTTGTATGTATCTGTATGCTACACTGAGCGCGTTTGAGCAGCGCAGCTCAACAGCCGCATTTCTACAACATCTCATCAATGCTAGGTACAATAAATGTGGTATTAATGTAGGACATCAATTCACCTAACATGTTATGTTCACATGTGGGAACACTAGTGTCTTGCTATGGTTTTCATGAAATAAATAAATAAACAAATTTCTTGAAATTGACCATAAACAAGTTTTTACCATCACTGCGGACAGTTACCATGGTAACTCCGTTACCTGCCACCGGGCACAATGTGAAAGCGCAATTGATATGCTTCCTGTGCTTAAAAGAATACCTCATCCACATATTAGTATAAAATGATTATCTAAATTGACATTTTTGCTAAAAAAAAGTTTTCGTTTATGGTGAAGGACCACTAAAATAAAATAAGTCTTGCTAATTACAACACCTCTGTGATGGTACACTTATTCATTATGCAATAAAGGCTTTATAGAGAGCATCTTGTTCATTTAAGTCTTACAAGATGTAAATTCACAATCTGAGTAAATCATGGTAAAGCAGTAACACTTCTGTACTCTACAAGGTTCCACACAAGTCATAAACTAGCCATAACATTTGTCATCACTTGGTATATCAAAATACTGCTGCTATTTTTCTACCTAGTCTTATCCGTTAGCATTAGTAGCATGATGCTTTGAAAATGCTGTCATCCGATAGCAACAGCGATGACCTTACAGAAATGGGGCCTATGCTGGCATGCAGGCTGTCACAGAACAGCTTTAGTGAATGAAACTCAACACTTCTTAATGAGGGCTGGAGAAGAGGGACACTGGGACACTACAGCCTCTATGAATCATTTCTTAGTGTAAAGCTGCTGACGTAAGACCAGTTTTTACCTTTTATACTGTTAAAAAGTTGGTTCTTCAAGGGTTCTTTTTATGTGCGCCATTCTAATTATGCTACAGTTTCCTCCACATGGTTATGATGATCAGTTAAGGTTCAGTTAAAAGTACCACTGTTGCTAACAATAAATGTGTATAGTCACCAGTTAGCATCATTCAAGAGACACCATGCTAACTGGTAACGACTAGCTTCTGTGGTTATTATTATGCTTAATCCCCACGAACCTTTTGTGCATTTCATTCAGAAGGTTTTTGGTACTATATAGAGCCTCTTTTTGCAAAGATTATAATAAATACAATCAGTAAATCTGATTTTGCGTTAGCTCACTCACCCAAAGACCCGGCTGAAATAGACCTAGATTTGAAAATGGGCCCAGTTTTTGGCTCAATCTTAAAATGGCAACGTAAGACAATGATAACGATCCAGACATGAGTAAATGGGGCTTAAAAACAGATTCACGCTCTAGATTTTATTAAGTGCTGATCTAATCTGCTTAAAGTTAAAGTTTACTTGGCATGTCTTGGATTTATTCATTTTTGACTACAAATCTTTCAATCGTGTCAAATCTCACAGACCCACACAGACTGAGCATGTGCTTACAGTTTACAGCATGTGGGATAAAAAAAAGGGCATACAGGGCTTCAAGATATGGACAAAAACACACATTGTTAATACATTGCGACTGTGATCCCCTGCAATATATTACAACATATCAGGTAACCCTTGATAATATATGGCTAAAGACTGGCCTGCATTAATTTGCCCAAAATTATTTATTGGCTCACAGGACTGCCTTGGTCCAAATACTTGCAGAAATTGAACATCTAGAATCAACCCGGAACATCAAATAAGCTTCATCTGAGTTTTTTCAAAATACTCACAGCACTTGATTTATAATAATAAAAATATATATAAATATATATATATATATATATATATATATATATAATTAGTTAACAGGTTTACTTGTCTTCTAAAATACTGACACTGAAAAGCCACTAATGATTAACACACAAGATATTCTGTAGCCCTATTATTGCATAGTCTAAGACACTTACTTGCCCTGGAAGCCATAATACCTTCCCAGCAGCCTTTTGTATTGCTCATGGGCACAAAACTGAATGGCAGCATAGGGAATAACCCGCACCATGGTGGCCGAGTTGCCCCTCCATAAGCTGAGGAAGCCATCCTTGCGATAGGTACGGTAAATCAGCCGATACGCCTCCTGCTCTCATGGAAAAACAGACAGATCTGTATGAGTTTGGCTTCAATAACTTTATGCATTCATCAGCAAGAAAGGCATTTGCAACACTGGAGTTTTGTGTTTCCCAAAAGCTTTATGATTTCCCCATAGTATTACAATTATCTTTACAGGGTAGAGACAGTGCTCTAAGCGATGCTTGCTTTACCATTTACCAGTAGTTGCTATGCTGGGTTAATGCTTCTTGAAATATACACTCACCTTGGCAGAAAATCTATTTGAAGACACTGAAAAGTAAAGGGAACAAAATGAGAAAAGGTTGGACTTTTTCCTACATTGTAACATATATTTCTGATAGATTACTTCTGTGTAAAAAGCAGAGCGCTTCGTTATAGAGTCATATGCAAACGTCTGGGCACCTCTGGTCCAACTGCATGTGAACACATCCTCTACGGAAAACATACATCTGAACATTTTACTGCACAATAACTGTTTACTTGCTGAATTAATCATATTGGGAGGAAAGGTAAGCCTTTGCAAATGTTATGGCACATTTTACATTTTATGTTTTATTCTTTTTCAAGCTCAGCAAGAAATAGAAACTATACACTAAAGTGTGCAGGAAAACTACCATATTTCAGTATGTTCCCTGTAGAGAATGTGTTAAATTATTTTCACTTAGAAAATCAACAAAACATGTAACATGACTCAGGATGTTCAAACATTTGCATACAACTGTAGCTATATGAGGGGATAAAATAAGCTTAATCGGAATGTATTTATTACTATGAAAGATTTAGTAACATTATTTGTATCATGTGAACCCAGAGTCACATAAACCTGAATATGAAAATCACATGATTTCTATACAGTGAACACAATTTCAAATTTTCAGCACCAACATCCAGTGAGAGCAACAGTGGCTGCATGTTCCAACCAATTAATGTATACATCATTTACACATATACATATATATACATACACACGCATATACATATACACCAATCAGGCATTACATTATGACCACCTCCTTGTTTCTATGCTCACTGTCCATTTTATCAGCTCCACTTACTATAGAGGTGCACCTTGTAGTTCTACAATTACAGACTGTAGTCCATTTGTTTCTCTGCATACTTTGTTAGCCCCCTTTTACCCTGTTCTTCAGTGGCTAGGACCTCCATGGACCCTCACAGAGCAGGTACTATTCGGGTGGTGGATCATTTTCAGCACTGCAGTGACACTGATGTGGTGGTGGTGTGTGGTGTGTGTTGTGCTGGTACGAGTGGATCAGACACAGCAGTGCTGCTGGAGTTTTTAAATCGGTTTATATGTATAGTCCACGGTTCCAACTTGTGATTATAGCCTCTTGTTCATACAGTTCATGGGTTCCAGTTTAAGTGGAGACCCTCAAGGGGAACTGCAGTTTTTCACTTTGCTGCTGCTGTTAGTTTGCTGCTTGTTGATTCAACAACAGTTGTCCCGCAAGCACTGTTCAGCATCGTCTGCTGAAGGTGCTAAAGGTTTTGCTTATACAGCATTTAAAATGTCACTTTGAATAAGAGGCCTACAATCACGGTTTCTATCACAGCAACATACAGCGCACTGGGAGCTAGGCTTTAGTCTGCACTACTACAGATGGTTCAAAGGGTCAAACAGAAAAATGTCTTAAGGGACTTAAGAGTGGGCTTATAATTTACTGAACAATATACATATTCTTATATTGACAACAGCAGCGTAGACAGATTTTATTTCATTGTGAGGCGTTTGTGTGTGTTGGACTCATACTGTATAAGTATCAGTTTAGCGTTTCTTGCCTTGGAAGATGATCTTTGTTCTATCCAAAGGAGCCACAGCTGTTTTGGCAACGGCCCCTGCCAAAGCTCCAGAGAACAATGAGTTCAACACGGAGCGGCTCTGCTTAAAACCCTAGACACGCGCACGCGCACACACACACACACACACACACACACACACACACAGAAGAAGAAAAAAAACATAAAAAGCAGTATTAATACTACACACATCCTTTCAGACCCATAGCGTTGAGGTGTCTTCTCACAGCGGAAGGAAGGACAGAAACATCTGTGGATTTTTTTCAGATCTAAAGCAAGAGTCGGGCTTGATTTTCTGAAAAAAATGCAAGCCTTGAGCTTTTTTATGGTTTTGGTGGTCTACCAGGTCTTGGACAGTTGTTAGGAATTCCATTTTCTCTGTTTCCCTGTATCATATTTTGAACTCCAGTTTTGGAAAGTACTTTTCCTACCATGTATTTTCCATTGACTTTCCTCTTCCTTATGCAAGTGGATTATCTTATATCCAACAGATTCCTCAATATATCCTGAAAAATAAATAACTTGTGCTTAATAGTCTTTCTGACTGGAAAAAAGTACTGTAAGAAAAAAGAACAACTTTTTTTTTTTAAGATTATACACACAAAACTAAAAATTCCGTTGCAGTTATCCAGAGAGATTGGCATGAAAATGAGGCACCAATTTAGGAAGGATAAATAAGCCACTTATGATAAACATCAAGAGTCTCCACAAAAGCTTTCCTGACAGCTCACAGCGTCCCTCAAACAACCAACCCCAACTGCAGTCACAGCTGCAGTTTTGCAAAGCTTTGAGGTAAAATCCAAGCTACATTTACCACTTTATCTTTGGACTAAACAAAAATGCTGAACTTCTAGCGTTAAGTCTAATATTACACATTTGTTAAGTAAATTACAGTAGAAGAATTTAAAAGTCATATTAACCATGCTGGACATTCTAACAGGAGCAAGCTCTCTGACTTTAGCACACAGTTTATACTTCACATAGTAATCAGCTATAAAAAAAGAATCATCAGTGCACCCCTACTTGTTTTTCACCAACAGATCTGCTATTGGATGCTCCTGGTGTTGAGTGCAAAACAGAGAAGCATGACTAGGCAGTCTATGCAAAGCCTATGTAAAGACTTGTTTTTAGGGCTGATTCAGTGTATTAGTGCAGGCACCAGTGTGCCAGCCAATGATGAGTCAATGCAAGACATGCAGCCATGGTTATGCGTTTGTTTGAGATGCAGTAGATTATTAAGCCAAACTTACACAAGAAACTAGAATGGATTACACCTGCCTGACAGACTGTGAATGTTCATAAGGAAACAGTATCAAAACCATTTAGGTGGGAAGCTAAATCAAGAGGCAGCTACAGTACAAAACGCATACAGTCTACTTAGCTGATATAAGCAATCTAAAACAACATCACACACTATATCAGTTATAGTAGTAATCAAGTAATCTACCAACTATTTTAACGATTCATTAAATGAATAAAACGTTACTCGATTAATTAAAATTAACCTAATAAAAATGTAAATAATGATCTCAAAATATTTTTATTGGATAAATGAACAAGTCTGAAGTCTTTCAGTGTTTTAATGCATGATTACTGTTTATTTGCTGAATTTAACATTTTGGGGAAAAAAGTAAAACATCAAATGTGGCCTGTGCAAATATGACAGCACATTTTATAAATTTTTCCAATATGTTAATCATGATTAGTCATAATCATAATCACAATTAATCACATCTTTGGCCTGTGCAAAACTTGGCACATTTTATTTGTAATGTTTTATTTCTTCCCAATGTCTTAAACTCAAACTAACAGAAATTGTGCACTAAAAGGATGTGTTAACTTATGTTTACTTAGAAAACCAACAGAACAAGTCATTTGACTGCGAGGGTTCAAACTTTTGCACATGACTGTAAGTGGTTGTGTTTCTTACTGTAAAAGAATTTAAAATGCGCAGCACCATAATGAATCATTGTCAACACATCAAGAAAAATTCCAATTGATTTGTTTTCCTCCTTACTATTATTATTAATCAAAATGGCATTAATAAGCATGCAACATAAAATTAATTTTTAGGGCAGATATACAGAGATATTCTACAAAATTCCCCACAATATCCCACTTTAGTCTCTCAAATTTAAACTAACCTTTGCTCATTTCAGTCATCCTTAATTACTTCAGCTGTTGTAAAAAATTATATTACTTTATATGTTGCCCATCTACATTAAGTAATTATTTGAGCACTTAATGAATCACAGACATTGGATGTTTGGTTACTAAATTAACTTAATTCTTGAGTTGTACTTCTTAAATGTACTTATTTTCACTTATAAAATCAACAAAACACAATTTGACCAGGGGTGTTTAAACTTTTGCTTATGATTATAAATAGGTGATACACTGTTTATTAATGTAAAAGAATTAAAAATATACATCAAAATAATCATCACCATCATCAAAAAATAAATTGATGATTTTTAATTGATTAATCATGTTTAATCAATTACTCATAATGGCCCTAATAATTACACAACATGAAATTCATTCCTAGGGCAGATTCATAGAGAAATTGCACACACAGTTCTCCCAATTTCCCTCACTATAGTGTCTCAAATCAAAACTCACCTTGACTCATTTCAGTCGTCCTTAATTATTTCAGCTGTAGCAACAAATATTCATCAGTTATATTCAATGCATATTCATTATTTTGAAGTTACTCAGTTACATTAAATATCCATTTGAGCACTGAGTCATGAACAGTAGATGTCAAATTATTTGATTTACCTCACTCTGGTGTTTTACTTAACTGTTTATTTTATCATTTAATAGTGGGAGGAAGCGAGTGGCTTTCTATAACGGCTCAAAATGACAACTGGATGGTAATAACAGCCGACTGAAATAGAAGCTTTAGATTACTTTGCTGTTCTAAAAATAAGAGTGTATGTATTTAAAGTGTGCCACTATTTTGGCATCAAAAAGCATCCCACACTGTTGACTTTGGAACAAACACACTCTCAAATTGTGAGTCAGGTTACAAAGTTCTGAAACCCAGTGTTACAACACTGCAGTGCAGAGGAAACCATGAGAGACGTCTTACATTCGAATTTTCTCCAGTCCTGAAATCTCATACTGTAACCAATGAGCACGCATGAAACAGCAAGCTCTACAGGAAGGCACTAAAGATATCAGCTCAGATCTTTGCTGTAGGTGTTTAGCCTACAGGTCTAAATAGAGGTTTAACAATACGTCATATGATATTGTATCATTTGAGATGAGGCTCTCAATTCAAAGCATACATTCAACATACAATCAACAGACTGGAGCCAATAAATTATTCATTTTGAAGCTGCTTAAACTGCACAAGGTCCATAAATTGCACAAGGCTAAAATGTTAGTTTGGGGCTAGAGAAACTGGCATTGGGACTGCACTGGCATATCCACTCATCCACAAACATTCACTCATTATCATGATATCAGTAACCAAAATTACCAGTTTTCTATATTTTCACTGTATTATTACATACTGAAATTGCACCACAGTTATCATACAATTCACTAAACGTATTCTACCAGTAGACTTTGTATTATCAATCTGATGTCTCACATTTCTCTGTAACACCACATCAACTATAATTTGAATATAGATAAAATTATCTACAGCACTACTAGACTTTACTGCTCAGATTAAAACTCTGTAAATAGCCATCATCCTGGCGTATGCTTTCCAGAGAGACTGCAGCGGTAAGCTATTTACTTCCACTGTGACTCTTTAAAAACACAGTCATCATATGTGCTTATCAGAATTGACTTGATTATCACTGGGTTTTATAACGCAGTATGTCAACAAAACAACTGGTTATTGTCCATAATCCACTTGCACCAGCAATCAAATGCTGCTGAAGAACCTGATAAGCTGGAGGTGTTGTGTTACATTACGGTTGGAACTCCACTGTGCAGTAGATTCCCAAGAATGAGGCTCTGTATCTGATTCTGATCATTCAGACACTGGAAAAACTGCTCAGGTTGCGCCTGGACATACATCGGTTTTGTTGTCTGCTTGCACGCAATTGCAAATGTATAATCATGTATAATAAAATGCCTAATTATGCTTGAGTTCAAGAGAAGATGGAGTTCACTGTTACCCATAGTGCTAGTTTCAGAAATGTAACTAAATATCCAGTGAATTGTCCGAGCAGCAAACATGACTGGTGATTAGGCCTGTGCCCGGTGACGGTTAATCGAGTTACCATAGTAACAGCCCTTAGTAATGGTTAAAACTCATTTGCCGCCAGTTTAAAAGTTTAAAAAAGGTTTGTGCATTAATTATTATGTGTAAACCGTAGCAAGACAGCAGTGTTCCCATAGTTGAATATAACAGAACTTTTAAATATGATATCCTACATTAATACCACATTTATCGTACCTAACATAAACGAGACCCTTCTAGAAACACAGCTGCACTGGTTAAACATGCTCAGTACTGCAGACAGATATCGTGCCTGTACAAAAAGCTGCCTCAATGGCAAACGTGGTGCATTTTAGGACATTCTTACACTACAGTGTTTTTACTGGATTCATTAAAAAGGCGAAGGGCTCAGCTAAACAACCGCAAACTCTCAGACTGTAAAGTGTGTGTGACATTCACAATTCCAGGGATGCTGGACATTATTGTAAGACGGGGGTGGTGAAATTTTGAGCAACGTATATATGACATCATGCTAAATAGGACGTGTTTATGCACATATGACCTGACACAGCATCCGCTGATGCACACCTCACACACCTCACACACCTTACTCACTTGCTGGACAAACTTTATGCAAATGAGCTGGGTGTCGGCCAATCAGATTGTTGATGGCATCAAAGTTAAGCTAGATGCCCACACCTATTGGGAGATCAATATTACAATTAACAAAATAAAAATTCCAACCTACAAAAACGCACAAATGAGTCTTTGCTATGCCCAAAATATTTAAAAGTTCAGTTCTTTTGTTATTTTTCTGCTAATGTTTTTTTGCAGTTTCAGTTAAATAGTCTTGAAATCTCGGGGTGCTGCAGCACCCTCAGCACCCCTATTTCCTGTGTCTGTGCACAAAATAAAGATGACCATCACAACTGTTACTGAACTGCGCTTGGTCTCACTGTGTTCTCTCCTACGTCCGCGTCAGTGTTAGAAACCATCATAAAATTATTGGACGAACAGTAAAACAATACCCCCTACCTCAACATGGTTTAACTGTTTACAGTGGTTATTTTCCACATGATGACCTAAATAACAGAACTCTTACTAGCACAGGTCTAAAGGTCATTGGCAAACCTTATAATTGGTGATTGATAATCTTTTCCCATTCTGTACAGTGCCTCATGTTGACTAAGAAGGGCTGATGCCATAAGGCACTCTCAGAACATGATCTAACGCTCCACTTGCACTAGTATGGCATGGCAATGCATAACACTGGATCCAATTCATTCACCATGTGAAGCATAGTGTCCGTCTATGGAGCAGTGCAGAGCATGATGAGTTCGCCACATTTTGATGATGGATGTGGTTGAAAAAGCATTAATAACATAGATATTGACTGATTAAGATTTCAATTTGATTGGATGTTGCATCTATATCTAGCTAGTTGAAGAGAGGAGATGTGTTTGTGTTCATTGCCAAGACGGACCAGTATGAATCCTACTCCTATATACATATACTCAGGTCATAAAATAAAGACTTCTGAATCCACATAGTGAATTGCAGCATTCAGAGGTTCAGTCATTTGAGATTCAGTAAGCCCTCTAACTTCGTCAAACTTTTGCAGACCTTATTCATAGATTTGTATTCTTACCTCTGACTGGCTGGAGGAGGGAAGTGGCAGCACCTCACCCTGTCTGAGTGCCCGCTGGCTTTCCTGCACTCCATTCCCCATCCCTGCCCCCTACACTCATACACGCCAGCACTTGGGGGCTAGCTGACTGGCTAGCTGGATACACTCACACGGGACAGCTCCCTAGAAAAGACAAAAAACCAGCCTGCTGTAACTTGGAAAAATTCACATGATTATAAAATTTGTTGTAGATATTAGGGTGGCATGATAATAGCTAAAACAATAAATCACGATCACTTTACTCCATACAGACATCACAATCACTACTAATGAGTCAATTCAGGAACATTTTTATCATTTTGAAATCAATAGATAGACATTTTTTTTTTAAATGTAAAATTTTTTGCATCTTTAGTCAACAAGGACATAAAATGTCATTGCTGCGAAGCAATGTTCTTATGAAGCATCAAGAGCTATCCAACTATTAAGGTCGCCCCCTTGTGGAGTATTTTCAGAGTGCTAAGTGTGAGTGAGTAAGTGAGTTACAAGTCAGTTCATGAGGTGTTTTGCATCTAAAAACCCAAGCTTGTCAACATTATGTGTCAATGAAAACTGACTTATAAACGTTACCTAATTAGATAACTTTAGTTACGTTCACACTCAATTATGTTTGATTGAGTAAGGCTAAATTTATGATCTCAATTAAAAGACAATCAATTGTGTAGTCCCAATGATTGCCACTTGTGAGGAGATAATTGTGATGCTCTCATAACAGTAACAACATTCCACAGAAATCCACGAAATTAATTTCAGACAAAAAAATGAAGTGGTAGCTCATCGTCATTATTGCAAACATTAATAGTTTTCACAGGTTAACTTTTTTTGCCCACTGTTCGAAAGCTATCTGAATATGCAAAAATGAAACCAGCATCACCGTATCAGGCTCTGCACTTTTTGGTATTGTTAGCTTAGTTCTGATTGGCCAATACAAATCACATTTCCCAATGGGTTGGGAAAAGTAATGACTGAGCTACTGCTGTGCTGCTTAGAGGGGAAGAGGAATTCCACATCAATATTCTCTACTAACAGTTGACCAAGCTTAAAAACTCATAATATACATATTCATACTAGCCACCGGTTTATCACAGTAGTCACTGATGTTAATTGGATTTAACATTCATATTCACTGTGATGCGCTCCTAACAGCAGTCACTGGTTTTTACTGGTAACAGTGACTGATTTTCACAGATCTATTTCTCACTGTTACTCTGACAGGCCTCTAGCAGTAGTCATCGGTTATCACTGGTTTTGCAGTCTGGTGTCGATCAGAGGAGGATGGGTTTCCCTTTTGAGTTTTGGTTCCTCTCACAGTCTCTTCCTCTTACTCTTTTAGGGAATTTTGTCACTGTCACCTTTGGCTTGCTCACTGGAGCTTGGAACCAGATTGTTTTGTTAAGCTGCTTTGTGGCAAAACCTGTTTTTCTTTAAAAAAAAAAAGTGCTAAACTTTGACTTGACATAAAACATAGATTCATAGGCAAAATAATAAAAAAAACACTACCTAAAAAACCTTCACAAACATTTCTTAATAACAACTGTATATAATTTAGCAACTTAGTTTGCTTACAAAATCACAGTATAATGTCATGTCAGACGTTCATGTAAAGGAGCAGACAATCTGAGACACATACAAAATACTTCACAAAACACTTCATGAATCTTCACTTGAATATGCAGCCAACATTAAATTTTCTATCACTAGGAAACATATTTGCTTCCTGAGAGGCTTTCTGTGAAATTTTGTCTTTGAAGTCTACAAAGACCAGCTTAAGTTCCAGTTATTGTTCTAAAATGTGATCAAACATGCCCAATTTCCTTACTGAAGAGTCACCAGACCTGCAGGTTAAATGTGTGAATGTTTAACCTGATCTTAAACAAGATGACATATTCTCACCAAAGAACAGCCTGAGCAATATGTTACCTAGTGTGAGGTCACTGGGGCATATGAGAGGAGTAAACAGCTAGCCGCAGTCTATAACCTACAGGATCAAATGGCATTTAAAAGGACATCGCTTGGCAGAATTCCAGAAATAGAACTAGAATCGCTGAATTATTTAATCACAAAAAGGACAGACCTATGAACACAAATGCATTGATCATGTAGCCCTTCTACTCCTGATTCACATTAGTGGTGGGAAATATGATGTGCTATTGTTATTGTGATAAAGGATTTCTAGACCACTAAACAACCGATGAAAAAGATTTAGAGCAATTATAGAGAGCCTGTAAAAAACAACCACAGTGTAGTAACTGTCGAAACTGCATAGTAACCAGGGCCGTCACGATTACTTGATTAAAATCGATTTAAAACTTAATCTATTAAAATTTACATTCTTGATAAATCACTTTACTTTGAAATTTGAGTAATAAAACAGCACTGGATAGAAAGAGGTGGAAGAGTGGAAATCCACATCAGCAAGACTTCACAAATGGGCTTAAATAAATTAACGGAAAATAAAATGGTGTCATAAATCACATTTATATGATTACTTAATTAATCGTAAACAATCATTATAATAATCATTGTAATATTTATTTACTAACATAGTCTATATATACAAATAAATGTGGCTCTACTCTTTTTCTGGTGTATTCTATTTGGTCCCACTTGTTTGCAAAACTAAATATCGAGATACATATCGTGGATCGTGAAGATGCCTTCAAGTATTGTGATGTTAGACTTTGGCCATATCTCCCACTCTTAAATCGACGCCACAAATCAGTCTTTTTCTGGCACTCTTGTAAGGAGCTGCACTAGAAATCCTTCAGTAATCCTGTCAACACCCACAACGACACATGACGCTTTGACATATGACTGAATGGAAGGGCTGCATGGTGTTGCTGAGGTAAACCTGACTTGACCCAGTTGGCACACATAATGACTGCTATCCACATAAACCAAGTGTGAGGGCAGCATAGTGTTCGCATATCAGTGCAAACCTTCTGTACTGGTGGCTCTCTGGGTGAAAGGTTTAAATTGTACAGCAAGGCTGCCTTTACATAATGAAATTTACATGCAACTTTAGTTGCTTGAAACTTACATGAAACTAAATTTCACTACATAATGTTACATAATGTAAAGTGTGCTGCAACTCACTTTAAACGTAGTCGCAACAGTTGCAAGTGTCTCTACTTGTGAAACCAGTTTCATGAAACAGCCAATGAATTTATATAGCAAAGCAATACAACAGATTAAAAATACCAGCTTCTAAATTGGCTAACTATTGGAGTGATCACACGTGGTGTGGCCAAGTTTTTTAATTGCTTTGTGCAAATGTCAAGTTACACAGACACAAAGTCAGATGCAACTCACAACAAGAAAGTAGTTGCATTACGTTTCACAGTGTAAAGCCTGCCTAAAGGCCACACCAATTCCGATGTATTTTTTTGTTCAAACACAAAATCGAGTGAAGATGGAAAAGGAAGAAGCAATGTATTACTTGAGTAGCAGCAATGGTGACTTTTCTCTTTTAAGCACTGCAATCAAACGACACACACACTGGGTGCACCCTATTCTACAGAAAAGACAACACAGGGAGATCCAGAGTCTCATACAGGAGCTGAAGCTGCACAACATGCGATTCTGAAGGTACTGTCATATATCAGTGGGAGGAATTTGAAGCTCTGCTTCTGCTTGTTGCTCTTCTCATTGAAAAGGAGCAAATCAACAGGGAGCCCATCACACCTCTTCTGCTTCTGATAAATGTGTCAGAGATTTTGTCTTTTCTTTTTTTATTATGCAGCATCATAGTCTGTCAGTTTTAGACTCAGTGTGAAAGATTATTAAAATATATGTGCTCGTTTTACAAAGTTGACCGGTTTTTCTTTTTTTTTGGTCTGTAAAAACTGGACTTGAAAAACTGGTGTGAACAGGCCTTAACAGAGAAAGGTCTGTTAAAGGAATACTCCAGGGTTTTTTAACCTTATCTCTATCTACATGGCATATGTTCAATTTACCACAGACAATTTCAATGTTTTTATGACAATAAAAAGACCACTTGAAGCAACTGCCCACTGGCCTCTATTATGACAGTGTCTGTCAACGTTTAATGAAAATTACTGTCCATAGTATTTGACCATGCACTACAGATGCAGCAGACAAAAATTAAAAACCACTAGACAATTCCTTTAAAAGTGATTTGTAGCATGTATTACTTGTTGCTAAATACAGAGCTGGAGGCAACCTGGACAGCAGATTCTAAACTAAATGGAAAATTTAGAGAGGTCAGCTGCTCATTATTGTGAGAGTTAATTGTTAACTCTCATGATGACAGCTTATAAAACTGGACAGAGGAGCCATTTGGGACAGGCTTATTGGAGTGGAGGAATAAAAAGACAAGAAGGGAGAAAAAAGTGAGGAGCCAAGGGAGGACAGGGTTGTCAGGGAAACGGAGGCCGGCATGTCTAGTTCATCCGATGGGTCCGAGCCATGGAACTGAAAACTCACTGACCCTTTTAACCCTCTATATCCTTTTATAACTACATCCTGCTCTGGTGCAAGCTGCACTGTAGTCACACACACCAGCATGGAACCAGCTCAGTACTGACAACAGATATATTTACATGTCAGCTGACACCCGTGTTATTTTAACCAGTCACTGGCCAATGCTGCTTTTACTAATGGTGCAACGAAATAAAACTGTAGCCCTGTTACGCCCCCTGCTCTTTTCTGAAGGCCTCTCAAACTATATTAGTAATTAAAACTAAGCATCCTAGTGCATCTATCTATTCTTGTGCTGTTTATAGCTCTGTTTCGCTGTTTTATAAGATCACTTAAGATCATTTATATCTTTCTGAACACTATCGACCTTTACCCCAAATCTTAATAATATACTTCACAGATTGATTTGGATCAGGAAATAACACATTTTGTTTCACAACAACAAGAAGGTACTTGCTTTGAATTAAAATGTGTACTTTTCTGATCCAAATCAGTCTGTGTACTATATAATTAAGAGCAGGGATGCAGATCGATAGTGATAGCCAATATTTTTCATGTACACATCTTCTGATGCAGATACATAAACGTTTGTAAAATGTAGATGTTGGTACTAGATCCACTTGGATGAGCATTACAAAAAAATATAATTTACTTGAATTGTGTTATAAATGCAGTAAAATAAGTGCAATAGCAACGTCACCTAGACATGCTCTACCGAAGAACAATAAATACGTCATCAAATATCAGTTTGAAATACCGGCCAAATCTAAACATCTGTTTTCTTAGCAAAATGAAGCTGATATGAAAATGATCATTGTGCATCTCTAATCATTGTTTAACACAAAATATTAAAAAACATATCAAATCTGAAAATATGCATCTTGCTATGCCCCTAGCTGTTACCATTACTATCATGCATCTCTTATGGATTGGCCAATACAACAATATTTTATCATTACTGTGGTAAATCTTGTCACAGTACACTTTTTTATCATGGATACTATCAGTACTCAAAGAATCAACGGCATAAGCTGCATGTTTACTAGAAAGAAACTATAATTGCAGTCGTATGCAAACATTTGAACACCCTCGGTCAAATTACATGCTCTATTTATTTTCTAAGTGAGAATACGTTAACACAAGGAATACACTTAAATATGCCATTTTCTTGCAAATTGTACTGAAAAATGTCTATGTATTTCTTTAACAAACAAGCAAACTTTAAAAACCTTTTAAAAACAGGCCACATTTTGTGTTTTATTTTTTCTCAATATGTTAAATTCAGCAAATAAACAGTAGTTGTGTATTAAATGTGCAGAAGTGTGTTCTCTGTAGAGGATGTGTGACTTACTTTCATTAGAAACATGTAATTTGACCAGGGGTGCCCAAACGTTTGCATACAACTGTAATTTTGTTTAACTGAATTTAGTGCACGGCATGGCATGAAACATAGAACAAAAGTTTTTAATAGTATTTTATACATGTGGCACTACAGGGGCTTTTGCTGTTCCAACTTATCAAACCTCAGAAAAACTAAATATTGTGATATTAATTGTGTCAAAATTGCATTTTTTCACCCAGCCCTAGTATTTCTACTATAATTGCTGTTACAAGTCTATCTTCAAGCCCTTCTTCCACAAACAACACAAAATCAGAATTCAGAACTCAACTCAAAATCAGAAATAGTATGTGCAGCTGCACTGTAGATATATGCATGTACATGTGGGTATGAATAATAGTTGCATTTTAAAGCAGTTGCATTATAAAGCTACCTTTGCCCCTCTTTTTTCCTTTGTGGGTCAACTTACAGGCAAGGCTTTTATAGACTCTGGTGCACTACTTTTGAGAAGTGTCTTATTACCTGAGAAATTGGACTGGGGACTTGTACAAACGGTCTAACGTTCCCAACGAAGTTTTTTTCAAGGAAGCAGCTCATTCACTTATCAAAGGACACATTCCTAAGGCTTTATACGTGTCAAGGAAGGAATTATTTGACTTTTTGTCAAGTCTAACACACTGATCACTCTTTAGCTATGCAAGACACGTTTAGTGAAAATAGAACAAAATACAGAACCACTACTTTGCTGTTATTCAGGCCTACAGCAAATCAAACAGAGCTTGGCCTCTTATGCTGAACCCTGCTGTGCTATCAGGAGCAACACACACCCCATTATAACACACTGATCTCATCTGTTAGACATTAACCCTTGAAATGCTATCAGCTGTGCCTGTCTGATAGCATCTGACAGTTAAATTAATGAGATAAACTCTGAATGGTAATGACAGCTATAACCTAGAACTGCATCCCATTAGTGTTGAAAAGTTAATCGTTTTTTATTGACATCACAATTTAAGAGAGTGCAATTTACAAATTGCAAGAGCTGCAATTTTTAAATTATAGTCTGTATTATCAAAACAACATTACCTCATGTTAAAAACTGACCTAATATCACAGAGGTTGTGAACTGCCTGTAGCTGAGTTAGACCAATTAGAGGCAACTAAACCGCCATGTGTTGTGACACCACAACCACAACTTACTGGCTGTTTGGCACAATACATTCAGGGCACAAGCCTCAAACCAGAAAAACAACAAATATTTCTTCATGGCCAAAAAAAACACAGACAGAAAATGCATACTTTGTAATTTATATAATATAATATAATATAATATATATTATATAATATAGGAATATTCACCACTTAAATCACAGTCACAAAATTAGTCAGAAAATCACAATTAGACATTTTTCCCAAATCGTTCAGCCCTATATGCTGTGAAAACCACGGACACCTTTGCAAGGTGAAGCGACCACTGTGCAAAGCACAGCTTACTAGCCTCACACAGTGACCCCCTCCCGCAAATGACTTTAATGTTTAAATACCAAACACTGAATTCTCAGTGTTCTCAAATTCTCAAACAGCGTGGACAGAGAAGAGGCCAAAGAGTACGAAATAAACTCCTCTCACACTAACCAGAACTAGAGAAAGACTTGTTTAGCAAGCAAGTTAGCGATCCAGCTAGCTTTCATTAACAAAGTATTACGTTCCTCGATTGAATTCAGTTTCTTTGACTTACCTTCCTGATAACACGACCAGGCTGTGTCCTGTTTAGCACGTGTTCCTCCTCTTAGAAACAGACTAGATACAGGACTACTTTTTCACGTAAATGTAATGACAGTTTGACAACCACTCCCCTTGAGTTGAGTTGAATACCAACGCTAGCAGGGTTAGCCAACAGACGGCTAGCTACCGTTCCGAGAGCTGGTTAACTAGCCTGGTGGCCAGTCACGCCACGCTGCTTGTAAACACACGCAGTTTTTTTTTAATCAAAAGTGACCTCAAAGCTCGGCAGCCCAAGGGACAAGGGTCGAACACATTTCTACACTTCATTCGCCTCAAGTGCACGACAACTGAGTGCGATAACTTGCACCTTCCATGCTGTTTCGAATACACTGTCTGACACTAGCGAGCAAGGGCGAGTTACACGGGACTATGGGAAATGAAGTCCGAATGCAGAGACGCTCGACTGGATAGGTCGGTTTGAGGGGCGTGACGAGAACCGTCCAGAAAACAAAAAGTCGTGTTCAGTGAAGAAAAACACAGGTTAAAAGGTTTCTCTGTCCTGTTCTGATTAAACAGACGTCACAACGCAGTTTCCACATTCAGGATTCCACAATGAATTGCGTCATAATCAGGGGTGGAACATATTTTCACATTCAATAGGATTTTCACTTCTGACATAAAGATTCGATTCGATTTTAGATATTTTATATGTTAAAACCCGCTAATTATACACTACAAATGTTTGTTTATAATAATAATAATAATAATAATAATAAAAGTTCTCGTATAGAACATTCAATGCCTGCAGCACCCCATATGGAAGAAAAATATGTACTCATATTTTCTATACCTAAATACGTCATTTTAATATTTAAATATATGCCTGTTAGTGAACATATTTGTCACTATATTGAAATATTCACACACACATGTAGATTGCATTTGTGTGTGTCAAATTTTAATAGTTAATATTATTAATAATTATAATTATATTTTATATTATATACTTATAATAATATTTTAAAAATAATATTTTATCTACATGTGTGCAAATATTTCAATATCTTGACAAATATGTTCATATACTGGCATGTATTTAAATATTTGTACACATTTATGTTTACATATATTTTAACACATTTTTATGCGTAATGTGTAATATATGTTATTTTTATGTGCAATATGTGTTATGAAACATATTGACAGATATTTGCATGTGTACATATAGTCCCTTTGCAATCGGGCAAGCCCTCTAGCATAACATAATAAGCCCAAAATCACAACCCCTAGAATTTATGAGGTTAGTATGTTTAGTATATTAGTATGCGGTTTTGGACGTAGCTCCATTTGGGTGTGTGTGGGTGTATAGCATAAGCCCTGCCGTCCCACCCACTTTACTCTGATAGGATGCACCCAGATGCTAACTTATGCTCATCGACCCAGTTTCTAGATGGTAAATGAGAGAAGCTCTGAAGAGACAGAGGGGATTATCTGTGATACTGCTTTAAATTTTGATACGCTGTTCCGAATGCTTTTCAAAACTAGATTGCAATCATTACACCATTAGTCATAAACCAGGTAGGTTTATTCACATTTTTAGGCTGGGACTGTTTTACACATGTACTTATCAAGCCACTGTCAGGATATCATTGAAGACTTTACATTTTCTATCTGTTTTTTTAATTCCTGGCCAATAACGTGGATCTGTGATACTTCTCTATATAGGAATATTAGGGAATGCAAATAAATGTAGCTCCTCTCATGCACATCAACATGTATTAATAACGGAAAGATCACAAAACGTGTTGAAGGGCACCGTCCAAACTATACTTCAGGCTCATGTACTGTGTCGCAATGTGACTGAAAAGCAAAGCACTTTCTGAACTAAGTACACTTATTCCAAAGAGCATTCCAGTGAATCTGTCCAGTAAGGCAAGCTAATCAGTTGCATAAAAAATATACTGGGACACACATAAAAAAAAAAATTACAAAAATAAAGAATACAAGGGTATTAAAACATAAAAACTAAAAAAAAATTATTTACACTGTAACACAACAATGTTAAGAGAAATGTATGATCAGTGCATCAGCAACTGGTCTTGGCCTTAATTCTGTATGATTGAAGGCTGTTTTTATGGTGTCATTTTTTTATTAGTTGAACAAATCCCCACTGCTCAGTCTCTTTTCCATGCTGTTCCACATTGAATGAAGCAAAACTATCTGGCAACTCCAGACTTTTAGTTAGTGAGACTTCCTTTCTTGCCAGTCCAGAGCTCTCTCAGTTCTACCTGGCAACCCAGGTCTCTAAGGGCGGCCCTTCCCACGTCGCCACAGTCCCTGTGAGAGGCCAGAGCCTGACCAATCAGAGCTTCCGCTCCCATCTCCAGGATGGGCTGGCTGAAATCGCGCGTGCGTGCGACTAGGTTCCTCAGCAGCATGCAGGACTGTTTCTGTAACGGCATAAAGGAGATCACTTAGGGCTGAACGATATGAACGCTAATTTGTATCATGATATTTTCTCATCCTCAGACAGAACTGAGAATAAGAGAATAGTGATTATTATTATGAATTAATTTTTGGTATATCATGATGTCATACTGCATGTCTTATTACTACCTCTGATAATAATAAAAAAAAGAATAAGAACAATATTAAAAAAGAAGAATGGTTGTTAATGTTATTATACCAAAGTTAATAAATGCCGCTTGTGTTTCCACCTTTAACTACATGTTGCAAAGACATATAGTAACATTCAAAAGTTTGGCCATGTGTTATTGATTTTCTAAGTGAAAATAAGTTAATGTATTCTCTGCAGAGAACATACTTCTGCATGTTTTTAATGTAACATTACTGTTTATTTGCTGAATTTAACATTGAAAAACATAAAACTTAAATTTGGCCCGTGCAAAAGTTTTTCTATTTCATGTAATATTTTTTCCAATATGTTAATGTCAGCAACTAAATAGAAATTGCGCACTAAAATTAGATGGCATTAAAGATTAAATGCCATAATTTAATCTGTTCCATGTAGTGGATGGTAAATGTATTTTTACGTAGAAAATCAACAAAACACCAGGGTTTTCAAACCTTGCATGCAACTGTAACCTACACTTTATTCTTTGTCGTTTAAGCTCAGACACTATGATGCCAAATCAACTCCAAATTCCAAAGTCTCACTTTAAACTACATTTACTACACTAACAAAAACTGAAAGTAGGCTGTCTAGGAGCAGATGCAGCCACTTCCAGGGGTCGAACAAAACATGAAATGGTTAACTAATTTCACAAAGACAGTTAACGACTGTCTCTATTAACCCAGGTTCAGATACTCAGGTTGTGATTAATCCTCATGCACATGCACATTTAGGCGTGATGTTTAAATATGTATAGTGAATAGTAAAGTAAAGCATTAATAACTGTAAAAAGCAGCACAGTCTCCACTGTGACTGCATTAGAGCTTATTGGAGTAATAAGTGCTTCTTGTTCTTATTACCTATGTAGTATTATTTGCTTCCTCTGCTAAGAAGCGATATTCTACACATGACTGAGAGATTTTAAGAAGGGTCCAACCCCATCGCCCCTGGTTGGTATCGGTATCAAAGTCACAATTCTGGTATTGTGAAAACCCGACAGCTAACTATAGAACTGCTGCATCATGATGACGTGCTGACCTGCACATTGACTTCTGCTGGATGGGCCTTCATAGCCTGCAGGGCAGCCAGTGCCCCTCCACTCTCCATGATGACTTTGCAGTTGTTGGGCTTCCGCAGAGCAAGCACACAGAGAGCAGCACAGCCCTGTTCACACACCTGAGATGGAAGCAAAGATAGAGTGGTCCAACATGTTATGTAAACATCTTTTAATATTTCAAGATTCAGTGTGATTATATCCTTTATGCATTCTGGCTTAAGACCTGGTAAGCTTTAAACCTCATTAGAGCAAATACAGAATACCACTGTCATTAAAAGGCTGGCCATTGTTTTTAATACACCTCATCTGACCCCTTTTGATTTAAGCCTAAGCCATCTATCAGCACAGACACATGCCTGATCCAGCACTTTAAACAATGACTGCAAAACGTTATTCCATGATTGCACAACAGAGGACATACCTGTGCATTACCCATGTGGCGGTTTATCGCCATGACAATAAGTTCAGTCCCGCCTGCGTTCACAATGGCATCTTTCACGTCATCGTTCCCTGCAATTGCTCGCAGTGCACTTAACACCTGTTTTACAAGGTCCTGTAGGAAAAAAGAACAGGTCACTGACAATTCTTTAGTGGATGCTGTCTTGTAGCATGGTTGTTACTGTTACTGTTACTGAAATGCACGTACTGGCCTGTCAGTTGTACAATGAACGCATTTTTAAGCACATTACTCAAAAAACTTCTTATGTGATGAAGGATGATTGAACAATGTTCAAAGTTGTCACCTGACAATCCAAACTATCTGCCAGCAGCGTCATCATAAACTTCAGCCCTCCTAGGTCCACAATATCCTGGCAGAACTCGTTCCTCACAGCCAGCCGGGACAGCGTGGCACACAGCTCACTGAGGACTGGCATGTTCTCTGGGTGGGCTGGAGGGGTGTGGGGGTAAGAATATCAAGCCAGTATTTAAAAAGCTTGTTTATAGTGTACTCTATTCTCAATATGTAGGGTCACACATGCATTTGTTCACTCATGAAGTATACTGCACACTGCATTTCTAGGTACACCAACTCACTGGCCACTTTATCAGAAACACCTACCACAAAGATGCTACTGTACACACTTAAAATAGATGGTTCTTCATTAGTTCTTTAGTAAAGAAAATGGTTCTATATAGAACAATGAACACTCAAAGAACCCTCTGCATGATTAAAGGGTTCTTTGCATCATGAAAGCATTCTTTAGATTAATGGAAAGTGTGTGTTATATGGTTCTATATAGAACCTTTTTGCAAAATGTTCTATGTAGCAGCAAAAATGGTTCTTCTATTGTTACAGGCTTGACATCGTAACAATGGAAGAACACTTTTTGGTGCTATATAGAACCATCTACGGCACATTCTCCATCAATCTAAAGAATCAGATAGCGACGCAAAGAATTCTTTAATCATGCAAAGGGTTCTTTTAGTGTTTGTGGTTCTATATAGAACCATTTTCTTTACTAAAGAACCTTTGAAGAACCATCATTTTGAAGAGTGTAGGTTTACAGTTACTGACTGCATCCCCCTCCTACCCCATCCAACAAGGGAAAGGGACCACCACCACATATTACTTACACATGGTAGCATTAATGTATGCTGCACTTGTACAAGGCACAGTACTGCTGCTTGGTGTGTTTTTCAGATATTTTTACCAATTTTCTAGTCACTGACCTAATCCTCCCACTATCTTCGTCCCCCCCATCACACAACACCACCAAGCTGAAACACTGAAGGCTTGCACATGCTTCTTCTGAGTCACATGAACCAAACCTCCGCATCTACCACAAATGCAATGTAACTGGACAGCTCAGCGCACTTGGGGAAGAATGCTCATGCAGCGTTATATGTTTCAAATTTATAAAACAACAACAACAACAACAACAACAAAAGAGCATTGTTTCGTGCCTCATAGTGATACACGACCAACTGCATCAAGAAGCCTCTAAAGCGTTGGTATGGTGACAGCATTACGGATGAAACTTTATGATTATCAGAGCAGTGTATATTCTTTATTTTAGGTGGAAAAAAACAGGAGGACGCTCTGTACGCTTTCATTTTATGTTGTATAATAGGGTCCCCTGGTCCCCTGGACTTCCGCCACTGCAGTTGATGGCAAAAGTTGGGAGAACTGAACTCTTGCCAGTCAGCGGAAAGTTGCCGCTGGCGGAATTTCTGTCGCAGATACACTGAAAACAATAGGACATCCAGTTTGCCGTCAAACGCCAAATGCCAACATGTGAGCATAGTGTAACTGCCACACTCTGCCCATGTGAGCTAATGGATGCCTCCACTTTTATAGCAGAGGGAAAGGGAGAGCCATCCTAACCACCTAGAGAGGATCAGGGCCAATTATGCTCTCTTCAACTGCTGGCATAATGAAACATAATAAATACCTGAATAGTGATTTCAGTATTTGAGTACTGGTACCTCAAACAGTTAACCAAATACACAAGTACCCATGCACACCCCTACTAACAGAACCATACCTGGGAGGCAGGAGGGGGTGTTCGAACAATGCTACTGCATTAGATGGCATAATAGAATGTCCATTGTATTATGCCATCTCCATAATGCACAATATCACAGATTTGTTTTTCGATATCACAATGTCACAATGTATTATAATACCCCTATTATGTAGACATTAAAGAATCTGAATCTGAGTGGCTCGCCAAACACCTGACCAATGATGAGGGGCTAGTGGATGACTAACACAAACCATGCATGGAATAGGTGAGCTAAAATCTCTCACTTTACAAGGTGTGTCTGATAAAGTAGCTGGTAAAAGTGGACAGACAAAAATCGCTACATGTTTTCTACAGTGTTGACAATCCATTGACAATACCACAGCTTACCTTTAGCAGCTTCTACAATGACTTTCAACCCGTTGTGCTCCAAAACGATCATTTTGGCGTGTTCGTGCGCATGACCAAAAGGAACACGCACATCATCGTCAAAAGTCATGACCCTGAGGGCGACACAAGCTTCCTTGACCATCTCAGATCGTTCGATATGTTGGGTGATGCAGCTAGTGAGCAAGGCCAGAACACCGGCCTTCACCAGGTCCTGTCTATTCTGCTCGTGCTTCAGACAGCAGTGGCGCACCGTCCGGATAGCCAAGCAGGTAAGGGCCGGATCTCCCTGGTGGGTGCGTAAGGTGCCAATCAAAAACCCCTGGCCTTCGCCGTCCAGTAGGTCCGGCTGCCCATCTGTGAGGGCGGAGAGAGCAGCTAGAGCAGCTGAGAGTGTCTCTTTGTCCTCACCAGCACTCTGGCAGCAGGAGAGGATGGTGGGATAGGCCTCTTTCTGTGCAGCTAGGTAACGCTGAGCAAAGCCAAGGGAGCACTGCTCTGTGAAGAGCTTCAAACCTTCCAACATAGATGTGGAGGAAGACTCTAAAGCACTTCTGAGAGAATCCAGGGCCTGGAGAAAAATTGGCAGACTTCAATTTATGTGCATTATATGTATGCATGATACATATTGTTGCTGTCATATCAAAACCTTTTTTTACACCATTTGAAAATGCTACTTTTTTCAGTATGGGAAAACTTCATAACAAATGGACTATTAAAAATACTCTAAAATTTCTTGTCATCACATTAACATGCATTAAAATTAAGAATAATTTTCCTTCTCCTATAATATCACCATTGTAGAGATACAAGGTTTTGTTCTGACAATGACAATATGACCTCTCAACAGCAGCAGCTTTATTTTCATTAAAAGAAACAAAATCGTACCTGAAGAACTTCATGAGTCTGATCCTCTGTGGTCTCTTCAGAGGAAGCTTTTGGCACCACCTTCACAATGTTACTGAGGTCCACACCTTCACAAGAAGAGATGTTACAAAAGAACAAATTCAGTTAACTCACCATTCAACCAAATGTTCCGTTCAAGAAAAATGTATCCAGTCAGAATTTTTCAAAGCGGTGGTGGTATGAACCAGACATCTGAAAAGTTTAATGCCCCAGAAAGCTACTTGGAATGGTTATGTATACATTGCCTAATGCCTGAGATGTTGTTTTATGACAGTTTTTCCCCAATCATGAGAGCAGGGCATTGTGAGACAAAATGGTACCCAAAGAAAATGTATTTGTTGTGGATTTACCACAATTTTTTTCAGAAGACAATGTAGGTTCATTTGTCATGTTGGATAGTAAATAAAAAGGATATAGACCCCACAACCCCTGGTTTCTATCACCACCACTGTAAAGAAGAATTGGTAAGTTTATCTACACTGAACCATTTCACATCACACCATTGTGAATGATGACTCTGTTTATACATCAACGACTGAATTGTGTACACATTTTGGCTGATGAAATTCCACTTTAAAGCACTATAATGGACTCGTGACATTACCCTGAGACTCAAACTGTTCAATAGCTTCTCTCAGTGCTTCATTCTCATCCATCTCGAACTCGTCGATGTTCTCCCTCACCACAGCGTCAAACGTCTCCTGAGTGATCCTGCGTTTTGCCATATCTGCAAAGTGCAATGGACCAGCTGCACAAGAGAGCATACAGAGTTACATTTCTTTCTACTTTTTTTCACTGACAGGTCACAATACCATGCCAGATGCTACTATTAATGACAGGTAATCCAGCAGGACGACGCTGAGGTTCGCTTCTTATTCGAATTCCCCGTTCCACCTTAAATGGTGCAGCCGTTAGCTACATTGTGGCGCCTAAGGCTGAATGTAATGCTGCGCCATTTAAGGAGGAACGGGGAATTTGAATAAGAAGCCAACTTCAGCCTCGTTCCAGCAGGCTACTAGCTAACACAACCGGCTATTCACTGCAGACAGCTAAAGCGAATGCATGAAAGAATGAATGAATGTCTTCTCTGCATTCAGTACATTTACCAAGAGTCGCTTCAATCACTGAGCTTTATCGTCCCGGAATGGCACTTATTCAGAAGGTTAGTTCCAAAAGTCTAGAAGTCAGTTAGACACATCACTAATATCAGTCGTGCCACTCGCAGCAGCGCGCTAATGATAAAGCTAAAGTCCCACCCAACTTAGCCGAAGAGCATCGTACGTTAACAGAGTAAGGATAGGCACATTAGCCTCTACGCAATTTAAGTAAGCGTTTGTGAATCGAAAACTATACGTAAGTCCGATCGTTAATACGTCTCGGGCTGAATGTGTGGGTTAGAAATTAGGTTCCGATTCTGCAAATTTCTTTGTTCAAAGTAAAAAAATAATAATACGCTATAATCCATTGTCTCGTAGACGAAATGACGGGAAACTACATTGTACTTTAGGTGCGATCATAAATGTTTTGCTTAATCATTTAGCGGATTCGTTATTTGACATGAACATGTAATTCTATTGAATGTTGATGAGAAGAGAGACACAACATTGTCTCTAGGATCAAATAACAGGTCTCTCTCTCTCTCTCTCTCTCTCTCTCTCTCTCTCTCTCTCTCTCTCTCTCTCTCTCTCTCCAGGCCGATCAATCTGCTCTTGAGCGAGGAAAGAGCTAAAACAAATAATTAAATTTAAAATGACCCTGGCATAGACTTGCAGTGAGAGAGGAGAGCATAAAACGCACTTCAGTATCAATAATAAGCTGATGTGCACTGTCACTAAAAAAGGTCAACATCTGATTTAGCCTATGTTTGATTCTAAACTTCTTCCACTGTAAACTAATACTGTAATACATTGTTTAAAAACGAAACTCTTCACGTCAGGCAGTGTAAGTTTATTAAAGGAGAATTCCACCCATTTTTCAAATTTTTTGCATGTTTAAATGGTTAAGACTCATTTAGAGTGATTTAATGTAAAATAGAGAAATTTACCCAGTCAGAATTGTTCACAGTGTTGGTGATAGTAATCAGATGTCTTAATTTCCAAAACTGCTGCATAATTCAATAATTATGATGTAAACGAAGCCATTCAGTATGGTTTGAGGTTAAATGGTTCATTGAGAGCGTTCTTATTTACTGTCCAAAAACACCAGTGGTCCTACATGCGTCTTCTGAATTTAATGTTGAAATTGTAATCTTATTAATGGTAAAACAGTGATAAATCTAAAAAAATAAGGTTTCTTTTGGTATTTTTGCCTCATAAGGTCATGCATGTACTTCTCTGCTACGAGTGAATTAAAAAAAACACTTCTTAAATTGATTGTAAAATACATTTTCAGACATTGTAAGCTGTCAAGCAGTGTATTCATAACAATTTCATGCAGACACTTTCTGTGAGGGAGCTTTTAGAGCCATTAAACTCTTCAGATGTCTGATTCCTGTCACAACCACCGTGAACAATTCTGTTTGTATCTTTCTCTAGAACACAGCATTTCACATTAAACCGCTCTGAATGACTTTGATTACATACTGAAATTTTGACGGATACTGACGGGTGTCCCCTTTAACGCATCTAAAGCTACCTCAAAGAGAGCTATTACATCAAATGGTTACAAATACACTGCCTAATATCTGAGACATTGTTCTGAGATAAGACTTTGCCCTAACTCCAGATTCATAACCATTTACAAGGACTGAATTATGCGTGTTATGGAATTTTGAAAAATAGGTTGGATTGCCCTTTAAGACTCGTTCAGCACCTCGGTCAGCTCCACCTGAGTTCCCTCGGGCTTTGGAAATGAGCCTGTAAGAGTAAATTAACCACAACACACGATCACGTGATGCTTGTGGAGCTTTAACATCACATAACATGACTTTGTTTATTTATTCAGTGTAGCTTGTGGAGGAATGTGCGCTGACAACAACAGCAGCATCACACGCGCACGCACGCGCGGACATCGCGTTGAGCCCGAGGCCTACGCCTCAGTATAAAAGCGCATCGTCCCTCACGCAGCCTGTTTTCTCCCTGCCTGTCCCTGCGAGTGGAAGGCAGCGCACTTCACTTTGCTCCGTCTGCTGCTCTGACTGGAAGCACCTGTCAAAATGGTGAGTGGTTGGAATTTTCACCTCACTTTCCTACGGTGGACAGAGCTATTGGTGACATAACGGACTTAGGCTAATATAGACTTGAGCCTGACTAGCTTAGCCCCTAGCAACGGCAACAAAATGGCAGTGTTGTCTAGTAGCTTGAGTGCTAATAAACTACATTTTTACACATGGAGTTAACTAGCTAGCTGTAAACTATTGGTAAAGCACAGGAGGACGAATCCCATTAACAGAGTCCTCAAACTTTGCATATGTGCAAAATTTGGATTAATGGCTGGCGTTTATTGAAATCCTAACCATACAGACGGGCTTTGGCACTGACTAAAAGCCCTTAACTGATGCTAGCACGCAAATATAGCTGATTAACATCTCACCTAATCTAAATCACGCAGTGTTTCAGAGAGCAGGCTTCTTATTTGCTGGCTTTGTATCGGAATTTTCCGTACCACCTTAAATGGTACAGCAGTTACATTCAGGCGCCTTAGGTGCATGAATGTAACTGCTGTGCCATCTAAGGTGGAACGGAAAATTCCAGGTAGAAGGTGGCAAAGAATGAACCAGCTGAAGCTGAAGCTGTTCTAGATAAAGTGTGTACACGCTACACACTAATGTGTGTACACAGTACACACAACCAGTCCAGCTGGTCCTTTTTGGCGGGCCATTTTGTATGGGGGTCAGTTGTGTTGTGAATGATGCAACCGAAGTGTAAGTAAAGGGCTGTAGCAGCTTTGGCCGTCCGTGAGTCATGCACAAGTTTAATCCGGATGAGGAAAATGAAGGACGTAAATGAATGCCCCTAGATGTCCCTAGACTTTTCCATCTCATCGACAACTTATAGCTGCTTCTATGTTGTAATAGTAAACAGCATCTGGCTATGCCTTCAGTGTTGGTCACTGCATGTTTAGCGAGTTTGCCCACCTGTGATGTCTCAGTTGGCACATTATCGGATGTGGATCATGAGATGTTTTCTATTCATGAAGTGAAATGACTTGTAGACATGTACTCAAACTTTAGCATTTTATTTTAGACCAATAGAATAGAAAGGCGAAGAGCATTCAGCATCACTGAATGTGTTTGGGATTACTTGGACTGTGAGAAGCAGAAAATGCAACCAGCTTCTAAGATTGAGCTTCGGGGGTGGGGAAAAATATCCCTGCAGGTTTATTTAAAAAATTGAAACCGAGTCTCTTGAAAAGAACAGAACCTGTAATAAAGGCTGAGGATGAACTCATTATATTGAAATATTTTATATTATATTTAGATGTTGATGCTTCTGTGTAATTTTCTGGTAAATATGTGTTTTCTAACCTGAAACTGAAAACTAATTCTGAAACCGAAAACAGTTTAACCTGTATTTAATGGGTGGTTTTGACTTTTGCACAGTACTGTGCTTCATTTGCTCATTATCATAACCGCAGAACTTACATACTCATTGACACTGTTCATTTATGGTATATTTTGAACTATGTTAACTATAGTTCATAAATGATTAGTAGCAGTTACTGAAAAGTAAGTTTTAAGATTAATAATGCAGTACCTGCAGAAACCAAGGGTTCAAGGGGTTACTGTTAGTTTTGGGCTGCTCTACACACCTCTAAAATAACATAGTCATATGTAAAAGTTTGGGCACTCCTTTTCTAAGTGTACATAAGTTCAAACATCCTATACACAGAACAGAACTTCTGTACATTTTATTGCACAATTATTCTTTATTTGCTGAATTTAACATACTTGGAAAAAACACAAATGTGGCCTTTGCAGAAGTTATGGCACATTTTCTATTTTATGTTTCATTTTTTCCAATATGTTAAACTAAGCAAGTAAATAATGATGAACTAAAATTTGCAGAAATGTGTTCTCTGTAGAGAATGTGTTAACTTTCTAGCACAAACCAATGAAACGTTATTTACTTTCTAGCACAAACCAACGAAATGTTATTTACTTTTTAGCACAAACCAACGAAAAGTACTTTCAAATTTTTGCATACATTGAGTACTAACAATGTTCACGATACACTCGGCAAAGTGTATAGTATTATGATTTAACTCAACTTTGTCCACCCCTAAGATATGCATGATAATAATGGTAACAGCTAGGGGTAAAATGAGCCCCTTAATTCAGATTTGATACGTTTTGTTTGTTATTTTCTGTGTTAGAAATGACTTGATTCCAATGCTCTATTTTAAGGATGCGTGATGATATTGGTTTTATATCAGCATTTGCAGCAATTTGCTAAATATAAATAAAAATATTCAACAGGTTTATAAATTTGGCAGATATTTCAAATTGACATTACATGATGTATATTGGACTCTGGAAGAGCAAAATGTTTAGGTGATGCTGAGCTACATTTGTAACCCGATGCAAATAATTTATATATTTCTTTGTAATGCTAACCCAAGTGGATCTAGTCCCAGTTTCTACATTTTATAAATGTTTATGTAAATTTACAAACACACACACGCACACATTCACACACATATAAATGTGTGTGTGTTTATATTTCTGACCAGGGGTGTTTAAACTTTTGCATACATCTGTATGAATTTGGATGAAATCAAGCAGATGTAGAACCTGTAATGTGTAAAGCCACATGACCGCATGAGTTTATGACATCACTTCCCCTGACATTGATCTTGTTCTCCTTGCCAGGTGAACTTCACAGTGGATCAAATTCGTGCCATCATGGACAAGAAGTCCAACATCCGCAACATGTCAGTAATCGCGCATGTGGACCATGGCAAGTCCACCCTGACTGACTCGCTAGTGTCCAAAGCTGGTATCATCGCTTCAGCACGGGCTGGAGAGACCCGCTTCACAGACACTCGCAAAGATGAGCAGGAGCGCTGCATCACCATCAAATCCACGTAAGCAGCACATAGACCACCACGAACTGGACATCTGCCGTAAGATGCATGGAAGGTTCTCACACATTTATGAAGGGCTGTAACAAATTTATGAAGGGTAACAACGTATTTATGAAGGATTATAACTGGTGTGGAAAATAGCACTAGTGTATAGTGATGTATTACTTGAAAGTAGTTATTTAAATGCACACTCTCAGAAGAAAAGGTACTTAACTGTCACTTGGCGGTACCCCTCTTGTCACTGGGGTAGCACTCTCAAGGGTACATGTCTCTTACGTACCTTTAGTTAAGAAACATAATTGTACCATCTTCTGTTGCAATTATATTCGTAGGTTGTATGAATCCACACACCCTGTCCTGTCTCCAGCCTGATTATTTAATTGCTCTGTTTTAAAACATTAGGGAATGTACAAATATGTCATTTTTTTCTCTCTGAAACCACACACAATTGAACCTTAAAATCACTGTTGTACCTCTGTGGGTACATTTACGTTATTTGTACCTTGGATGAATAAAAAATGTACAGTAGCTGTTTGTTTTTGTAATGTTAGCATTGATTATAATGCATTTATAATAAAATGCAATGAAATATGGCCCTTGTTAGCCAGCTTCAGCGAGGGGAAACAAGTATACAGCAACTTTTATTTTTTGTTATTTAATATACTTACAGTGCATATATCCACTTCAAATTCCCACGCATAATGTCTTTTGGTTTTGTACCAATAAATATAAACAAAAGCATATGTATTCATAAGCATAATCAAAGATACACTCTATGGACAAAAGTGTTGGGACACCTCTTAATCATTGAATTCAGGTGTTTCATTCAGTCCCATTGCCCCAGGTGTATAAAATCAAGCACCTAGCCATGCAGTCTGCCTTTACAAACATTTATGAAGGTATGGGTCGTTCTGAAGTGCTCACTGAATTTCAAGCATGGCACTGTAGTAGGCTGCCACTGTTGCAACAATTCAGTTTGCAAAATTTCTTCCCTCCTAAATATTCCACGATCAACTGTGAGTGATATTATTGAAAAGTGGAAGTGTTTAGGAAGCACAGCAACTCAGCCATGAAGTGTCAGACCATGTATAGTTACCGAGTGGGTCGCAGAGTGCTGAGGTGCATAGTGCATAGACGTCACCAACACTCTGCTGACTCAGTAACTGCAGTGTTCCAAACCTCCTCTGGCATTATCAGCACAAAAACTGTGTGCCGTGAGCTTCATGGCATGGGTTTCCATGGCCGAGCAGCTGCACGCAAGCTTACATCACCAAGCATAATGCCAAGCGTTGAATGGAGTGGTCCACTGGACTCTGGAGCAGTGAAAAGTATTCTGTTCAGTGACGAATCGCGCTTCTTTGTCTGGCAGTCTGATGGATGAGTCTGGGTTTGGTGAATTCCAGGAGAATGCTCCCTGCCTGACTGCATTGTGATAACTGTAAAGTTTGGTTGTGGAGGGATAATGCTATGGGGTTATTTTTCAGGGGTTGGCCTAGACCTCTTAGTTCCAGTGAAGGGAAATCTTAATGTTTCAGCATACCAAGACATTTTGGACAATTATATGCATCCAACTTTGTGGGAACGCGCAGAGCCCTGACCTCAACACCATCGAACACCTTTGGGATGAACTAGAAAGGAGACTGCAAGCCAAGCCCTCTCATCCAACATCAGTTTCTGACCTCACAAATGCTCTTGTGGATGAATGGACAAAAATTCCCACAGACACACTCCAAAATCTTGTAGAAATCTTCCCAGAAGAGTGGAAGCTGTTATAGCTGCAAAGGGGGGACCAACTCCATATTATTGCCTATGGATGTAGTATGGGATGTCATAAAAGCTGTTGTAGGTGTAACGTGTAGGTGTCCCAATACTTTTGGCCATGTGGTGTATATTCAAAAAAATAAATTGTATGGGGGGAAACTATTCAGACAACAGAAATGAATAACAATTAGTACTTTGTTGCAAAGCTGTTGTTGGCAATCACAGCTTCAGGACATCTACAGTAAGAAGTAATTGGTTTTTGTGAAAAATTGTGGTTCAGTTTTACCCCATTCTACTTCGACACGTGACTCGGACTCATTCTTCCTCATCCAATTCCTCATCCAAGTTCACCTGATTTGTTTCTGTTCTGTTCTCTATTTAAACTGTTTGTTTTCACTCTTTCATTGCGAAGTGTTGCCACAGTTTACTGAGTATACTGAGCACTCTGTCTTGTTGTCCTGTATTGACCTTTTTCCTTTTTAGGGTTCAAGCATGCAATGCATTAAACCCTATTGTAATTGTCAAGATTTTTCTTCATATTCTTTTTCTTCCCTGAAACGGAACGCATAGCGCAAACCGTAAGTCCTAGATACTTGAAACTTGGTCAATAGGTAGTAGTCCCTCCTGTTACTCAGGCGCAAGGAATCAGCCCAGTCGTCCACAAAGGGGGCGCTACAGCGCAGGTCAATGCGTTTGGGTCTATAACTCCTAAACCAGATTTTTGCCAGACAAGCCATATTTTTTTTCAAGTTCCTTGGGTCCAAACAAACAACTTTGCCATTTGGACCATTTAGCTCCGCCCACTTAGATTTTGAGCTAATTTGCATAATGCCCGATCCTCATGTTTTTGGTGTCAAAAGATTCAGAAGAGCCTGAAGGTCAATAATTATAACAAAAACATTTTGACTTTTCTAAACAACATGGCTGTCATATGCAAATGAACCCTTCTGGATAAGTTCAAAATAATTCCGAATTAATTTAAATTCTGTAACTCGACAACCCTTCAGCCAAAAAATTTCAAACTTGACAGACACATTTGGGAGAAGATTTTGAGGTAGCCATTTGATTTTTGTGCGCATATGTCCTTAGGGGGCGGAGTTAATGCTACATGGCTGTTTCTCAGCATCCATGCATCCGATCAGGCTGAAACTTTGCAGATACCATCTGTTGGCCAGACTATAAGTGAACCATAAGGACAATTTGATTAATTGAAGTATGTGGTTGCCATCGGCCAATCAGCATTTAGCAGGCTTTTGACAGGCTTAACATTGACCAATCATCTTGAAACTTGAATGATCTCTACATATAGCCACTTTCTAACAACCAATCAAATTTGAAAAAATTTTACCACTGGGGGGGGCGCTATTTATAAAAATTAACATATTATTACATATTATTACTATTTTATTAGAAGATTGCTTGAAAATCCTTGTGTATCATATGTAGTATGTTATTCCAAACAATTTTGCAAATGCATATTTATTACAAAACTGCATAGTTTTTTTGTAATCGGTAACTGTTTAAAAAGCCTACTTTTCAAACTAGTCCCTGAATTTTGATCCAATCTTTTCGACCTTGGTCTGGAAAAAATCTTTGGCATGTGTAGGTAAATAATTATCAAGAACATGTTGACTTTTCTACTCAGAGTCGTGTGGATCAATCAATTAATTACTGTGGCCATGGCTCTGCTAACTTGATTAGCTATAACTCAACAGTCATTGGTCAGATCATATCCAAACTTTAAGGACTTTTACATATTTGGACTGTGATGGTGTATGCCATATTAAAATGCTATTACAATGTTATTACAGGGTCGACAGATAAACAAATGGTGCCATACGACTCAGATCACTCACCTGAACAGCTTTCTAAGTACATGTTCTGTCACAAATTGTACTGTTTGTCTGGTATTTTGGCTTATTCATTCGAAGACTACATTATACGAAGGCTTATTATACAAAGGTCAAAAGGTCAATCTGACCAAAACTTGGTAAACATCTTGGGATATGGTCCCTGATCAAGAATCATACCATTTTGTGGCCTTTTCACTAATTCTGACCCACTTTCACTGAGCTCATACTTTACTTTAGTCCTATGTTTCAACTTTTCATCTTTTTCAACTTTACTTATATTTTTGCCTGTAACTTTTGATCAGAGTGAGATAGAGACAAAATTCTTTTTCCTGCTGATTCCTTGGGATGTGCTGAACAAGTGCACCCCCAGTCACTTTTTGCCCCACCCCCTTAGTTTTTGAGCTAATTTGCATAATGTGAAAAACCTGTTCTTGCGAACTAGTCTCTGGATTTTTGCCAATTTTCATCAAATTAGTACCATAAGATTCAGAAGATACTGATCCTCAATAATTATCAAAAACATTTTGACTGTTCCACTGAATGTATTGAGAATCACATATCTTTGTTCAGGCTGAATACAGGAAATACTAAATAACAACTGAGTACTGGAAATACTAAATAACAAAAGTGTCCAAATGCTGGTTTCCTCTCACTGTATTTTGAAATATAAAAATGAAAAAAATCTTGGTGCATTGTTTTTATTATCTGTACTATACTGTTTATTGTCTACTACTGTGTAAAAGAGTCCTTCAGTCACTTTTCTGAATTCAGTAATTTTAAAATAATTCTGAATCATGCCATAATAATGTAATCAATTGAATTGTGGTGAAATTTGAGAATTAGTGATGGACTGAATCATTCCCTAAACCATCAGAATCAATATGTGAACTCTGAGAGTTACACGCCAGTTTATAACACATTATTCAATGGTTTATAATAACATATTTCAGTTAACAATAATATGTTTATATACGTGTTTATAAAAACGTATAACTTGTTTGTATCCGCTCAATAGAGATTATGAAGTGCATCATGGTCTAAATTAATACAAATTAAATGTGTAATGATGTATGTACCATTGTATGCAAAAGTTTGGGCACCCGTGGTCAAATGACATGATTTTCTAAGTGAAAATTAAAAAATCATCTACGGAGAATGTACTTCTACACATTTTAATGTACAATTACTGTTTATTTGCTGAATTTAACATATTTGGAAAAATAAAACTTAAAACATGGCCTGTGCAAAAGTTATGGCACATTTTATGTTTTGTTTTGTTTTTTCCAATATGTCAAATTCAGCAAATAAATCAAAATTGTGCACAAAAAAATGCTGAAATGTTATATTTAAGTTTCCCATAGAAGTTGTGTAAAGTTATTTTCACATAGAAAATCAACAAAATACGCCATTTGACGTTGAGTGTTGAAAACATACATCTCATTGTTGTAGGTCAGTGTTAACCTGATGAGCTGGCTGGTAATTTGACACAAACCTGAGTCATGGGTGTTGAGTTGCATCTTGTCACTTTAGCTGAGATATAATTGATGGTGTGTTTTGTGTAGAGAATGGCACACAGCAGCTTCTAAATAAGGCAGGGGGGGAATAGGAAGGATTTTACAGGAATACTCCAGTATTTTTCAACCTGCTAACCATCTGTTGCATCCAGCACATACGGTCGGTTACCACAGATAATTTCCTGTGTTAAGCAAACTGACGGAACTCATTGACACATTTATAATAGAAGCAGCTGTCCATTGGCTTCTATTATAAGGATGTTTTTCAAGTCAGTTGTTTTTCTGTTGCTTTATTAAATACAGGAAAGTCTATGGTAATAAACTGTGCTACAGATGTAACAGATGAAGGTCCTTTGTAAGTCAGCAGAACACAGTGTACACTGAGAACCTGAGGGCAGTGCTAGACTACAAAAACAGAGCTCTAGGTATTAAGTGAACCAACTCAAGCCATTTATCATCTTCACCTCTGCACTGAGTAACAACAGATAACATCCAGAGTGTGGGAAATAATTGTGCTGTGGTACATGTTCTGCAGATGTGGCAATAAGCGCTTAAAGTATTTTATTCACATATTTTGTTTTCAGATATATTAAGTTGGCTTGGCTTACTGTTCATGTTATTATTTTCTGCATTTCTTGTACCATTTTCATGGTTTAGCCTGTGTTACGCTCAGTGCACTTCATATATGGATTACAGTGTGAATTCTGTACCAGCACATCCCTAATTTTTCACTGAAGAACAAATGCTTGCACTGAGTGGTTTGCAATAAGACAGTACACACCGAGCTATTAATCTAATGTCCCCGTGTCTGAGGTCTGAACATATGGGAGTCAGGACTGCACTTTTGTGCTCAGTGTGTTTTCTCCCTCTGCAGGGCGATCTCTATGTACTATGAGCTGAGTGATAATGACCTGGCCTTCATTAAGCAGAGTAAAGATGGCTCAGGGATTTCTCATCAACCTGATCGACTCACCTGGACATGTGGACTTCTCCTCAGAGGTTACGGCTGCTCTGCGGGTCACTGACGGAGCACTTGTGGTGGTGGACTGTGTGTCCGGTAAGACCGACGTGCATCCATTTTCCCCTTACTGTAAATGTAGTCCATAGGCAAAGACATGTTTTGCCTAATTCAAATCTTCAGACTTCGACCATGTGAACTCTAATAAAGGGGATCTCATATGAACTTTGCATTAATTACACTGGAAGACACTCTTCATTTGTTTGTCTTAAATTATTTATTTCTGTGTATTATTGTATTTAATTTATTTCTACAAGCAAAGTCTTCATCCCAAGCTGCCTCTCTGGAAATTCTTTAAATGTCCGCCTTATAGCCTAGATAAAAGACTATCTTGGTAATGTGCAAGTTAAGTTCATGTGTCTGCAATCTAGAGAAGACCGGAGCTTTAGATCGGGCGTGTAGCTAACTTGCAAACTGTATACATGTTTCCAGTTGCTTTTACTGTCATTCCATTCACATTGATGCTTCCTAGGGGTCCCCTGGTTGCCAGGGCCGTAGGCTTCAACCACTAAAGCCTGCTGGATTAGCTCCTAGAACTGTAGGCTTAGAATTCAGTATCTAAGGACTAATTATTCAATAATTACTGAAAGTTATTCAGTATATACTAAAACTGAAACTTATATGTAAATTATATAGTTATAGTACTGTGCAAAAGTCAGAGAACAACTGTCATTTGTTTAATTTACAGTCAAAACAGCCATTTAGTATAATACAAGTTTGAGATATTTCTGAGGAGATTAGGTAAGATAATCCGTTTACATTATTAAAAGATACAGAGACCACCAAAACTGTTGTCTTCAGATAAACAGTACTTAAAGCTTTCATCTTTGAGAGATAGAAGAAAATCAGACTCCACTCTTGCTTCAAATCCACAAGTGATCCTGTCCATCCTTCCACTGTGAGAAGACAACTCGACACCGTGGGTCTTCATCCAAAGAAGCTATTGGTGTTCTCAGTAGACTGGCAACCCAGACGTCAACATCACTAAATGTGTTTGGGATCACTAAGATCAGGAGAAGCAGAAAATGCAATCAACTTCTAAGACTGAACTTTGGAGAACTTTGAAAAAATATTTCTACAGATTTCTTTGAAAAACTGAAAGCAAGTCTCCCAAAAAGAATGGAAGCTGTAATGAAAGTAAAGGGTGGACACACTAAATACTGAAACTAAATTGATATTCAGTTGTTGAGGTTTCTGTGTAATTTCCTGTTGTTTGTTTACTGCTTTTTTCCTGAGAATGAAAAAGCATAACTTGTTCCTAAAGGCTGTTCTGACTAGAAATCAAATAACTGAAGGGTGGTCTCTGACTTTAGCACTGTGTACTGTATGAGAGAGAGGAACTGAAGTGTAGCCCACATACAGGCCTTTAGGCTTTAAGGGATTAATACAGCCTTGCTAATCGATACTGCTGTCTCCTCAGGGGTGTGCGTGCAGACGGAGACGGTGCTCAGGCAGGCTATAGCGGAGCGTATTAAGCCCGTTCTCATGATGAATAAGATGGACCGGGCACTACTGGAGCTGCAGCTGGAGCCTGAGGAGCTCTATCAGACCTTCCAGCGCATCGTAGAGAATGTCAATGTCATCATCTCCACATATGGAGAGGATGAAGGTGGACCCATGGGAAACATCATGGTGAGAGTGGTGTGGTGTGTGGGGGTTTATTTACACAAATTTAGACTCAAATCAGAATCGTTTATTAACCAAGTATGTATCACGTACAGTGAATAGTAAGTAATGGTGAGTGTCAAACAAAAGTAGAGAATATAAATCAATCTAACAAGTAACGGAAGCTTATATAGTTACAGTTAATATCAGTGTATCTTCTTTGCTGTCTGAACAGTCTCCCTATCACTCTCTCTGTCTCAGATTGACCCAGTGGTGGGTACAGTAGGGTTTGGTTCTGGTCTGCATGGCTGGGCCTTCTCTCTGAAGCAGTTTGCTGAGATGTACGTGGCGAAGTTCGCTGCAAAAGGTGAAGCTCAGCTGGGGCCTGTAGAACGCTGCAAGAAAGTGGATGACATGATGAAGAAACTGTGGGGGGACAGGTAAGACACTTACACACATACAGTGGTCCCAAAAAGTATTTGGACACTTTAACCATTTAACCATCTGTAAAGTTATTTCAGTTACTTCATAAAATGTTCAACAAACTGATATTTGTTCAGCAGAAAAACACTTTTAGCACAACATCAGACTATTTGGAGAAAGGCTGGAGAAGAATTCTAACCAGACTGCACTAAGAATACTGTAAAGCACAGAGATGAAAACATCAAAGTCTGTTTATCTTACAGTGGTGTCAGTGAGCTTGTGTTCATTAATGGAATCATGAACTTTGAAGTGTACAAAGGCATTTTGGCTGCAAATCTACAGATATCTGCAAAGAAACTGCTCAAATGATAACACCCTGAAACACCACGGCCACATTTTGAAAGACTATATTGCCAGTAAGATAATGACAGTCTTGGTATGGTCTGTTTAGTTTGACTTTTTGTTTTCTAAAACATTGAACTTAATACATTTTACGTATGCCAGAAATACTTCTTGGGGCCACAGTATGCCTTACTTACACAAGTCGATTGGAAACACATCTCTCTCTCTCTCTCTCTCTCTCTCTCTCTCTCTCTCTCTCTCTCTCTCTGTGTCTCTGTCTCTCTCTCTCTCTCTTGTTTGTTCTCACTCTCTATCAGGTATTTTGATCCAGCTATTGGAAAATTCAGTAAGACTGCTACTGGTCCTGATGGGAAGAAATTACCACGCACTTTTGCCCAGCTCATCCTCGACCCCATTTTTAAAGTAAGCATCTGGTGCTTTACATTTTCACTTCATAGAGCATCCTGGGCAAAAAAGGAATAATTCATTTATTCTTTGCACTGCCCTCAGTGCCCTTAGTGAGTCTCATTATATTGGAGTTAACATAATCAGTATAGTCTGAAATCACTCCATAATTCCTTCAACTAGCTGATTAGCACTTTCCATTGTCCATTTTATAAGCTCCGTTTACCATATAGGTGCACTTCTTAGTTCTACAATTACAGACTGTAGTCCATCTGTTCCTCTGCATACTTTGTTAGCCCCCTTTCACCCTGTTCTATAATGGTCAGGACAGAAACAGGACCACCACGGAGCAGGTATTGTTTGGGTGGTGGGTCATTCTCAGCACTGCAGTGACACTGACATGGTGGTGGTGTGTTAGTGTGTGTTGCACTGGCACAAGTGGATCAGACAGGAGTTTTTAAACAATATGTCCACTCATTGTCCGCTCTATTACACACTCCTATCTTGTTGGTCTACCTTGCAGATGTAAAGTCAGAGTTAGAAGCTCATCTGTTGCTGTACAGTTTGTGTTGGTCAACCTCTAGTCCTGCAACAGTGGTCACAGGATGCTGCCCACAGGATGCTGTTGGTGAATATTTTTGGTTGTGGACCATTCACCATTGTGCATTACAATGTACAGAAGTTTCTTCTCTGTAGATAATGTATTAACTCAGGAAATTTTTTTCACTCAGGAAATCAACAACACGTGTTTCGAACAGGGGCACTGAAACTTTTGAATGTATATAGATGTTGTTGGAAAAGCATTTCAGATGGAAGCTGCTTGAGAGAATGCAAGAATTGTGTAAACCAAGTGAGTGCTGCATCAAGGCAAGGAGAGGATCAAAAATAGAAGAATAATTTGTTTCTTTTGGTCTCTGCATAATTCCATATGTTACTGTATAGTTTTGATGTCTTCACTGTTGTTCCATAATGTGGAAGTGCAAATAAGGTGAGTTGGTTGGGCCAGACTTTTGACTAGTATTGTACTCTGCGCTTGAATGATATCATTATATCATTGCTTTTCCCAGGTGTTTGATGCCATCATGAACTTTAAGAAGGAGGAGACAGCTAAGCTGATAGAGAAGCTAGACATTAAGCTGGATCAGGAAGACCGGGATAAGGAGGGGAAGCCTTTGTTGAAAGCTGTGATGCGCCGCTGGCTGCCTGCTGGAGAGGCTCTGCTCCAGATGATCACCATCCACCTGCCCTCACCAGTCACTGCTCAGAGATACCGCTGTGAGCTGCTATACGAGGGGCCCGGTGACGACGAGGCTGCCATGGGTACAGCTTATCTGTTATAATAGTTTCTGGAGTTCACATGTGATGCCAATGATATGAATGATGTGTGCCTGTGTAACTAGCCTGCTAATGCATAAAAGTGAGAGATACATAGAGAAAGATTCTCTCAAGCTTGTGTTTATTGGTTCACTGTTAGCTGAATTGCTCTTTGTGATCGATCTGTTATCATAAAGGATTACTTTTGCAAAAAATCTTATTTACATGATTTTCTAATTACCCCAAATGCACTCAATCAGCCAAGATGGCTTTGGTGTCAAAATTTTAATTCTTTAGTGTAGAACTGGAGCTACAAGGCTAACGTTGCTAACAAACACTAGAAGCCAATAGTCACCCAACCTGTTTCCTTAAATACATGCCCTTCTCTCTACCCACACAAACTGAATCTAGGTCTTAGTTCAGGTCACACAGACAAGATGTTTTTGTCCTGTTTTTGCAGAATGGAACACAAAACCTCATTTTAGTTTATTTATCATAATTCAATATGCACCAACTCTCAAGCCTTAGGTATTACTGTGCTAACACTATGTACATGCATAGGGGTGTTTTACACCATTCCACTGCGCCCCAGCCTCACAGAGTTTGAAGGAGGAATGGTCCTGGAAAGCAGATGACAATGTAGTTCCAATTTTAGCTTAAATCTGTAAATAAGATTTATCCTTGCCATTTTACAAAATATTTAAATTTTTTTAAACAAGTTCATGTAGTTTATCAATGCAATTTGAAGCAAGCATATGAATGTTTTGGTATGTATTTGTGAAAAATGGTTTCGGTGCCTGTTTACTTCTAGTTTTTGTCAGCACCGTTAGCATAGTAGCAGCAGTTCTAAAGTAAAGAAGAAAAACTTGGACACTAAACATGTCTTGGCTGATCAACCGCATTTGGGATAGTGGAAAATCTCATAAAAATAAAATGTTTTGCCAAGCTTTTAAAGTAAAAAAATAATAATAATAAATTACCCAGTTCCTCCTTTGCCACAAATGTATTCAGTTAGCCAAAACATGTTTGGTGTCTGAAGTTTACTTCTTTAGTTTTACATATTTAACGTATTTAAAAATTAATGGAAGGCTCTTGAATGGTAAAAGACATGGGGACGTGAGGAAGCAATTTGCTTTCGGTAGCATTTAATTTAGCTTCACAGCAAGTTTATCCTGGCAAACTTTAACCCTGCAAATTTGCAAGCCTCAGAGAGACAATAGAAAACAAGCCAGCAAGTTATGCTCTTCTTTCTCAAAGGAAAATAAACAGATGAGCCTCATTCAACATAATATAGCTTGTTGCTCGCACTGAAAAAAAAGGGAAACAGCAAGTATTAGCCATTCACCAAACAGTTTGTTCACTCCAAAACGTCACCATATCTGGACTGCACACACTTGCCTATTGTTTGTTCCATACCGACGAAGAAAATAGCGAGGCAATAGTCTGATGTGACTGCGGCTTAAGAGCTACTTCAATGAAAACATTTGAATACTAGCACCTCAATCAGAAACTAAATCTATACCTACATCCAAAAGGCTCTCAAAATGCTGTCATGGTATTCAGAGCATACAACTGCTTAGAACAGTGTTTCCTGAACTAATGAAACCCACTGCAAAATGTATACACGGATGTGTAGCCAGTCAGAATGAAAGTGACATGATACTGATGTTGTGGTCAGCTACTATAGATGCTACATAGAGTGTCTGAGTCTGAGACTAGCATGGCATAAACTTTTGTCTGTACCTCTATTCAAAACTAAGGAAGCAAACTTAAGACACCAAACATGTTTTGGTTGATCAGCTACAACTGAGGTAAGGGGAAAATTGTGAAGATTAGATTTTTTGGCAAACTAATGCTTTAACGAAATGATAACAAGAGAATATAGTATTGCATAATATGATTATAGGGGATAGTGGGACAGAATGTGAACTATATTCTTGTTTCTTCTAGTTGAAGTAGTTGCTGGACACAGTCTGATTGCATTATTTTTTGTACTCTCAGGAATTAAAAACTGTGACCCTAAAGCTCCTCTGATGATGTACATCTCTAAGATGGTGCCCACCTCTGATAAAGGCCGATTTTACGCGTTCGGCCGTGTCTTCTCTGGCTGTGTGTCCACTGGGCAGAGAGTACGAATCATGGGACCAAACTTCACTCCAGGAAAGAAAGAAGACCTCTATATCAAACCTATCCAGAGGTCAGTACAATCTCAACTTAAAAACTGTGCTGTAGTGTAAAGAATTATTTGGCTTTTAAGAAAGTTTAAACACAAAAACTGTTAGGTTTTCATCAGGCTTTCATTCAAACTAGATTTTTATAAGAGAATCCACCAACATTTGCTTTGAAATTTGGTCAAGGATGGATGGATGGATGGATGGATGGATGGATGGATAGATAGATAGATAGATAGATAGATAGATAGATAGATAGACACTTCATTGATCCCGAACGAAATTAAGCAGCCAGTAGCAGTCACACAACACAGGACAGTAATAATAATAATATAATAATATAATAATATAAGGATGAAACCATATGTAAGGAAGAAAAAATATAAAAAACAAAAAAATCCTATGTATAGGCATATATACAAATAGAAATATACAAAAATCTGGAATATGATCTATAACCTGAGATGAAAAAGGCAGTGACTGTACAAGGAGGTGCAGGTAACGGCATATAATGACAATACTGAATAAATATGTGCATATATTGGTACTGAAATAAAGTGTCTAGGTGTGGAGTGTCCAGATGTGTAAGATGCGCGATAGGGGGTACAGAAAGTGCGATATGTACAGTAAGGTGTCCATATGTGCAGATGGATAAAATAAACCTATGATTTAACATGAGATTCAGATTCAGTCTTCATCTCTCCTCTTCCCTCTTCTCTCTTCTCTTCTGGCCCCACTGGGAAGAGTTGTCCCTGATGGCTCTAGGGACAAAGGATCTCCTGAATCGGTCGGTTGAGCAACTCTGTGACAGCAACCTGCCACTAAACATGCTCCTCTTGTCCATGATGATGGTGTGCATTGGGTGGCCATCATCCTCCATAATGAAGAGCAGTTTGTGCAATGTCCTTCCACAGAGTCCAGTTTCACACCGACCACTGACCCCGCTTGCCTGACCAGCTTCTCCAGTCGCATCTTGTCTCCCTTTTTCATGCTTCCGCCCCATCACACCACAGCATAAAAATGACAGCTGGCAACCACAATCTGATAGAACATCTGCAGTTGCAGTTGCGAGATACCTGTAGGTCGTAACCCTCTCCACTTCAACCCCCTCAATAGAGATTGGCTGTGAGAGTGGCCTACCCCTGCGAAAGTCCACCACCATCTCCTTGGTCCTGGAAGTGTTCAGTAGCAGGTTGTTCCTGTGGCAACACGCCACAAAGTCCTTCACCAGGGTCTTGTACTCCTCCTCCTGCCCTCCCAGGTTGAAGATGTGCTGTAGGGGTGCCCCCAGCTCAGCAGCACAGGACTAGATTAGTAGTCTAGGACACACTTTGTCCAGTCCAGCTGCCTTCCTTGTGTGGAGTTTCCTCAGCTCACCTCTAACCTGATCTGCAGTGAAGATGTGCAGAGGGGGAGGGGGGCTGCAGCGGTGCTGCAGATCAGATCTGATGTGTTAATGTGTGAAGAGGGGGGAGATGGGGCTGTGTTGTCTGTGCTGCCAGCCTCTGGGACGGGTGCGTGAATATCAATAGAAGAAGATGAGGTGTTGATGTCCAGGCAGGCAGAGACTGAAGTACCAGGAGCTGAGAAGAGCGAGGGTGTGGAGGTGACCACTGTACATACAGGCGCTGTGGAGATCTGAAAAGGGCAGTCAAAGAGGTTATAGAAGATAATGAACTCATTGGGTCTCTCTGCGTCACCGTCTAACGCACTGTCCATCCTCTGCTTACAGCCTGTAATGGTCTTCATACCATTCCATACCTCCCTGATGTTATTCTCCCTTAACTTCTGCTCCCCCTTCTTCTTGTAGGACTCCTTGGCCTTTCGCAAGTGGACTTTGAGCTCCCTCTGTACGCTCCTCCTGGTTATTGTCTTTAAAGGCTCTCTTCTTCTTGTTCAGCACACCTTTGACATTGCCGGTTATCCAGGGCTTGTTATTTGCAAAGCAGCATACAGTTTTCACAGGAACAACAATGTCCATGCAAAAGTTCATGTAGTCCATCATGCAGTGTGTAATCCCCTCAATGTCCTCCCCATATGGCTCCTGCAGTACACTCCATTCAGTGGACTCGAAACAATCCCTGAGAGCCGCTTCGGCTTCAGGAGACCATTTCCTGAAGGAGCGTGTAGTTACAGCTTGTCTTCGGACACGGGGCTTGTACTGAGGCTGCAGGTAGACCAGGTTGTGGTCAGATTTTCCCAGAGGGGGCAGGGGTGTGGTGGTGTATGCATCCTTCACATTGGCGTAAAGGAGACCAATTGTCCTGTTCTTCCTAGTGGGGCAGTCTGCATACTGGTAAAAAAGCAGTGAGCATTGAGTCCAGTGTAATGTGGTTAAAATCACCAGAGATTGTTGCCGCTCAGTTTAGCATCCCTGTCCACTCTCATGGTGGTGAATCCGAGAATCTCCACTTTAGCATCAGGAATGTTGCCGCTTAGCCACGTTTCCGTGAGACATGAAAGACTACATTCCCGGTATAACCGCTGATTACCTTGTTGTTTGACAGTTGTTGACATCTAAACAAATGGGAAAAAAGTCTGAAATGCAGCCTGGAACCTGTCAATACAGAATGTAAAGCAAATGTAAAATTGATTTATTGCATACGTTGTTATAATGTAATTACATAATTACAAATACTTTATTATTATGTAATTACATAATTATATTAAAATAACATAACAGCTGTAAAATGACTTACCATATGCTAGCTGGAGAGGGGAAGGAATATGGACATGAATGTGGACAAACATCTGAAACCCATTGTGTAAATTAGCCATGTGTCTGATCTGTGTTACCATTCTATGTCTCTCTCCTCCTCTGCAGGACCATCCTGATGATGGGGCGTTATGTAGAGCCCATCGAGGACGTGCCATGCGGGAACATTGTAGGCCTGGTGGGTGTGGACCAGTTCCTGGTTAAAACAGGGACCATCACTACATATGAACAGGCGCACAACATGCGTGTGATGAAGTTCAGTGTGAGCCCTGTGGTACGTGTGGCAGTGGAGGCCAAAAACCCAGCTGACCTGCCCAAACTGGTGGAGGGACTGAAGCGCCTGGCCAAGTCTGACCCCATGGTGCAGTGCATCATTGAGGAGTCAGGAGAGCACATTGTCGCCGGAGCTGGAGAACTGCACCTGGAGATCTGTCTAAAGGACCTGGAGGAGGACCATGCCTGCATTCCACTAAAAGTGAGGAAGATGGAGATAAAGCTCATAAATAATAATAATAATAATAATAATACATTATACTTATATAGCACTTTTCAAGAACTCAAAGACGCTTACAGGTTTTCGAAATACAGAACAGTAAAGACAAACATGAGAGCACGAAGCACAGTCATAACATCACAAGCAAAACATAGCAGGACTTGGCAAAGGGCTGGTTTAGGATTGAGAACAGCTATAAGCAATAGAAAAGAGATAGGTTTTAAGTTTAGATTTAAAAGTGGAGACAGTGTCGGCCTGTTGAATATGCGAGAGAAGAGAGTTCCAGAGTCGGGGAGCCAGCCTAGCCCATCTGGAGTTTGCATAAATGGGAGGAGTTAATACCAGCAAGTAGAGAGTTACAATAGTCCAGGCGACTAGAAATGAATGCATGAAAAAGGGTTTCTGCAGCAGACTGAGGGAGTGACGATCTAAATTTTACAATGTTATGGAGATGGAAAAAAGAGGTTTTAACTACAGAGTTGATGTGTGCACTGAATGAGAGAGTTGAGTCAAAGAGAACGCCTAGATTTCGTACCAGAGGGGAAGGGGACAGAGTTACATTGTCAATGGAAAGAGAGAAAGGAGAAGTTTTAGAGAGAGTTGATTTGGATCCTATAAGAATAAGTTCTGTTTCGTCACTATTTAACATAAGAAAGTTGTGCTTCGTCCATGTTTTAATTTCTGTTATGCAGTTTTCAAGCTGAGTGAGGGGTGGATTTTTAATAGATTGAGTGCTAATGTAAATCTGTGTGTCATCTGCATAACAGTAAGAGTTCAGCTTGAAACTGTATTATGTGGCCAAGAGGAAGCATGTACACAATAAACAAAAGGGGTCCAAGGACTGAGCCTTGAGGGACCCCCTGAGTAACCACAGATGTGTGAGAAGTATGGCCACCGAGGGTAACAAACTGTTTTCTGTCAGTCAGATATGACTTAAACCACTCCAGGACAGTGCCCCTAATGCCCAGATCATGCAGCCTTGATAGGAGGATTGAGTGGCTCACCGTATCAAAGGCTGCACTCAAGTCAAGTAGTAGAAGGATGCTAAGGGCACCAATATCGGTAGACACCAGGAGGTCATTAGTGACCTTTATTAAGGCAGTTTCTGTGCTATGAGAGGGACGAAATCTGGACTGGAATGGTTCAAAAAGGCAGTTAGCTGATAAGTAATACTGAAGTTGGCTAGCCACAGTTCGTTCAAGTTCTTTGGACAGGAAAGGGAGGTTAGAAATGGGGCGGTAATTACTGAGTTCTAGTGGATCAAGGCCAGGTTTTTAAATTATGTGTGTGATAGCAGCAATCTTGTAAGCAGAGGGTACCTGTACATAGAGTTGAAGTGCACACAGTATGTAGCCTGCATAGTTTATCCTGGTAACCTGAAATTGATTTCGATTTAATTTATGACTATTCAATAATATTCCAAACAGTTTCTCCTAGTAGAATGATTCTTTTAACTGGGCTTTCTGGTGACTCACAATGTAGTTTTGTAGTCAATTTTCAGAAGAAATTGGCAGTGGGGATGCAGAAGGTAAAAACAGCTTATCTACTTTCTGTACTATGCAGTGGGTGCAGTTCAAGTTATGTGCCACTAGATGGCTGTGTTTAACAAATCATTTTGAGGGTGCGCTATAATCATCCACATTGATAATTTTGCATCTGTTTCTATTAGCTTAAATATAACCACCACTAATAGGATCGTGTCAAAATGCCACAAAGATCAGCTTTTTGTGGATGTTTCAGCATGATCATTATAACACCCAGAAGGGACTTTTGAACTCTAATGTTTTTCGTTGTTTTATTGATATATAAAGGATACTGTGCAAAAGTCAGAGACCACCTTTCATTTATTTCCACTGAAACAGCCATTAAGCACATTAAGCATGAGTTTTTTGTTTTTCAGGAAAAATATATAAGCCCAAATAACTAAATATAGTATTTAGTATTTACAGTTATTACAACTTCCTTTCTTTTCAGGATTTTTCAACACTTCCCAAGTTCAGTCTTCGAAGTTTGTTGACAGCTATACATCCTTTCAGACTCATAGCGTTGTTGTCTTATCATAGTGGAAGGATGGGCAGAAACACCTGTGGATTTTTCAGATCTGAAGCAAGAGTGGAGCTAGATTTTCTCCTCTCTCTCTCAAAGATTAAAGCTTTAAGTTCTGTTTATCTGATGGGGACAATTTCAGTGGTCTGCCTGGTCTTGCACATTTTCTCTGCATCTTTCAGTAGTTTTTTGAAACTCTAGTTTTGGAAATTTCTGGTCTTTAACCTTTTTTCACTTAGTTTCTCCTTCCATATGCAGGTGGATTATCTGAAATCTAATCTCCTCAGAAACATCTCCCAAAAATGAATAACTTGTTCCTAATGGCTGTTTTGACTGGAAATTAAATAAATGAGGGGGTGCTGTCTGACTTGTGCACAGTACTATATGTATACTAAGCAGGTAAACAATGATCAGGTTACATGTACTTTGGCTCTGAAAATAACAATGATGATGATAATAATAGTAATAATGACTTTGTTTATTTAGCACTGTTCGAGCATGAATGCAGCACAAAGTCCTTTACAGTGTTACTGACTGAAAAGGGTATATCAAAAAAGAACATAAACATTAAAAGAATATGTTGGTTTAATAAAGAATCAGAAGATAACAGGAGAAATGGGGAAATTGGGACTGTTTGTAGAAAACAGAGCCTGTCACTTAAATCCCTCTCTCTCTGTTGACCTGCAGAAATCGGACCCGGTTGTGTCCTACAGAGAGACAGTGAGTGAGGAGTCAGATCAGATGTGTCTGTCCAAATCTCCAAACAAGCACAACCGTCTGTACATGAAGGCCCGGCCTTTCCCTGACGGCCTGGCCGAGGACATAGAGAAGGGGGAGGTGACGGCCAGGCAGGAGCTGAAGGCCCGCGCCCGTTACCTAGCCGACAAGTACGAATGGGAAGTTACAGAGGCTCGCAAAATCTGGTGCTTTGGGCCAGACGGGACTGGACCCAGCATCCTGGTGGATGTAACCAAGGGTGTCCAGTACCTCAATGAGATCAAAGACAGTGTGGTGGCTGGCTTCCAGTGGGCCACCAAGGAGGTGAGGTGGATGATGCATTTATTACAACACTCATACTTCAAGTGATAGTTTGTTGAAAAATCAAATGTACACAGTTTCCCCTCTTTACCCCAAATATAGTTAACCAGGCAAGACATGTTTGGTGTCTGAAGTTTTCTTCATTAGTTTGCACCAGAGCTACGAGGCTACTGCCCCTAACAAACAATTTAGCATCACGCTAAATAGATTTATAGATTTATTATCTCAATTAGACTAAATGGAGTATAAAGGTGCCATAAAGAATTCTTTGCACAATATGATAGACGATCCACTTTTGGTTCCCTAAAAACAATGTTTGAAAAAGAGATTTCTGATTGTAAAAAAAACAGTTTAAGGGTTCTTCATATAACTATTACATTATGTGGAGATTCTATAAACCTTTAAAGGTTGTTCATGCTTTCACATCTTATTTACAAAAAAGCTTCCTCAAAGGTTTTTTAGGGACCCAAAATTGGTACTACTATGGCTTTGCTTAAAAGAAGCCGTTTGGCGGGTTTATTTTACAAAGTGTAGCTCATTTGCATAATGTGAAGTTTTTTAAAATCTTTGAAAAGTTATTCACATTCACAAACCTGGTTCTTTAAGGAACCAAAGGTAGTTCTTCTATGGCATAGCTCAAAGAACCATTTGTGGCACCTTCATTTGTAAGAATGTTGAAGCTATCATTACTTGTTAGCTACATTAGCCTTGTAGCTTCAGTGCAAAACTAAAGAAGCAAACTTTGGACACCAGACATGTCTTGGCTGATGGATAGAGTTTGAGGTAAGAGGTAAAATGTACATTTTTTTTTTTGCCAAACTATGACTGGAATGTCTTTTTTCCTGTGCATTTGAGCAGCTCCCAAGCAGCACCTTTATATATTGTATGAGGAAGCTCATTGCACCCTGCCCCCAAGTGGCGCAGCAGGTTAAGACAGGGTAGTTAAGAGGAACTTCCATCTGCAGCGGGGGTTCAAATCCCACCCCAGTGTTTATTGGTAGTACTGTCAGGTCTATGAAGAAAAATCATGCACCACGCTGATAAACTGATGGATACCCATTACCACAGTATCTGAGACCTGCACAAATCCCATTTTAAAATTAAAACATATTTAAATAATAAATAGAAAGGTTGACTTATGTATATGAAGTCAGATTATACTCATTAGTTTGGCACTGGGGAAGTACTTAAAAAGTTCAAAAAGTTCCTTACTTTTATTTTTTAGTAATCAGACTGTTTCTGCATGAATAATCCTTAGTTTTAACAGGAACCTTTGCTGTGTCATTGCAGTAATTCATACTTACAACAGTGCCTCCTACAGGTGCAATACTGTAAATCAAAGTGAGTTTTACTCATCTCAGCCTGAGCTTTTTGGCAGACAGTGCTTCAGGTCCAGACATTTTTAGACTTTTGTATGAAATAGGAAATTAAGTGTACATTTTTACACTATTTTACAGTATTTACACTCTTAGCACTGATGTAATTGATGAGCCAAGATATGTTTGGCATTCAAAGATTCTTCTTTAGTTTTTCACTGGAGCTTTGAGGCTAATGTAACTAACAAACAATGGAAGCTCTTATCCCAAAAATCCCAAGTTATTGGTATTGTTTAAAATTGTATGTTTTTAAATGTTGTTCTTGGTGTTTTATAGTGTAAATTCTTTTGTTTACTCCATTTTTGCTGTCTGCAGGGAGCACTGTGTGAGGAGAACATGCGTGCTATCCGCTTCGACATTCATGACGTGACGTTGCACGCCGATGCCATCCACCGTGGTGGGGGTCAGATCATTCCCACTGCCCGCAGGGTGCTGTATGCCTGCCAGCTGACCGCTGAGCCCAGGCTCATGGAGCCAATCTACCTGGTGGAGATCCAGGTCAGTGTCACACTCTTACATAGAAAAGGTCTGTTTAAATGACTGAAAATTTAACTATGTAGCTACAAACTTTTTACATCAGCATAATAGCTTATGTTTAAAAGTCTTTCATCTCTAATTAAGCCACATGTTAGCACATGTTAAAGACTTCAATAAATCTGGCATTTATGAGTCAGAGGTACTCCCTGGTAACTATTGCTTTCCGTCCTGTAACTAGTTACTGGTGCCCAGCAACTTCAAACCTTAATTCCAAAAAAGCTGGAACAGTATGTGAAATGCTAATAAAAACAAAAACACAAAATATAATGTTTTACCATATGAACTTCATTTTTTGTGAATATGTGCTCATTCTAAATTTGATGCCTGCAACACATTGCAAAAAAGTTGGGATAGGAGCAAAAGTTGGGATAGGAGCATGTTTACCACTGTGTTACATCACTTTTCCTTTTAACAGCACTTAATAATAGTTTGCGGACTGAAGACATCAACTGATTGATTTTTGCAAGCACCATTTTTTTAATTCCTTCCATTCTTTCATTATTTAGGAGATAGGTCTGGACTGCAGGCAGAGCCTCACACTCTGATTACGCAGCCATCCTGTTGTGATACCTATAGAGTATGGCTGTGTTGTCAGGTTGAAATAATCATGGACGTCAGACAGCATATGTTGCTGCAATATGTGCATTTCAGAATTAATGTGCAAGTTACCTATGCCATGGACACGAATACACCGCCATATCATGATAGATTTTCTGGCTTTTGAACTTTACGCTAGTAACAGTCGAGATGCTCCTTTTATCCTTTGGGCTAGACAACACAACAAGCTGAAGAAGACTAGGTCTTTCCTGGATGCTCCTTTTATACCCCAGCATGATTGCATTACTTGTTGAAGATGTTTTTTGATCATTTCACAATGTTCATAGTCATAAATTGCCCCGTCCCAACTTTTTTGGAATATGTTGCCGGTGTCAGTTTCAGAATAAGCTTATATTTGCAAACAACAATGACACTAATAAAGTGAAACAGGTAATATCTTGATTTTGTAGGGTTTTTGTTTAAATACAAATCAGATAGATTTACAAATCACTGTGCATACAGTAACTAGTGCATTCTATGGAGATTCTAGTAACTTATTATTAGTCCCTAGCAATTAGTACTTTCTATCGATACCATAGTAATTAATCACTATTTAATAGTCAGGTCATGTTCTGTGGATATCTGTTAGGCCAAGTTTAGCACTCAGTTCTCTATGTTCTCCAATAATGGAGTGCCAGTTATTTCTTTTTTAGCTGTCTTGCTGTGTGCTATGAGAGTGTGCTTTTACTCAGTGTTTTGGGGTCTTCTTTTACCATGTTGTGATTTCCTCTCGCAGTGCCCAGAGCAGGTGGTGGGGGGTATCTATGGTGTGCTGAACAGGAAGAGAGGTCATGTGTTTGAGGAGTCTCAGGTCATGGGGACGCCCATGTTTGTCGTCAAAGCCTACATGCCTGTCAACGAGTCCTTTGGTGAGTGAGATGCACTTGCAGTTAGTTACTCCAACAGTAGACAGTTAAAAGGCCTATTTGGGAATGTGTTTTTTCTGATATTCAATGTCAGGTGCATTGCCAAAAAAAATCAAATTTACAAAACGTTTATCAAGCAGTGTATCATGTATGCCTTGCCTTAACCCACACTGAGCTGTTAAGTAATATTAAATTAAGACTTGCTTAAGTGGTGTCAGACACTTAATCTATAAAAATGGACAAAGTAGGTTGCATAGCTAAAAACAGTATTAGCACCCACCTTGAAACCTGACTTCTATCCATACATTTGTCTATTTAAGATTACTTAACAACTCAGTGTGGTTTAAGACAAGTGTCTTATGACTTAGTTTTGCAGTTTGCACAATGCTAATTGGTGTGCCTTCATTACATGTTAGCTACATTAGCCTTATAGCTCCGGTGCAAACCTAAAGAAGAAAAGTTTAGACACCATGTCACACGACATTTGGGATAAGGGGGGGAATTTTCTAAATCTGATTTTATTTTAGTGAACTATCGCTTTAAATTGCACTGCTCTGTTGATGTTTTGATTTATATTTAATAACAGCTATCATTACTAGCTCTTATTTCCTCAAGCATTACTATTTATTCATTAAATGGTAATACATGGTTATTAATCTGTCCTCCTTCAATTCTTTCTCTGTCTCCAGGCTTCACAGCTGACCTTCGCTCCAACACAGGTGGTCAGGCCTTTCCTCAGTGTGTGTTTGACCACTGGCAGGTTCTCCCAGGTGACCCCAAAGACCCCACTTCTAAGCCTTTCCAGATTGTTGCTGAGACACGCAAACGCAAAGGCCTGAAAGAGGGAATCCCCCAGCTCGACAACTTCCTGGACAAGTTATAAAGGACAGCGAATACACCTTACTTCTTTAATCTCACCACCCCCTCTGTACCACCACCCACAACCACTCTTCCACCTCTCTCTCTCTTTATTCCTCTTTTTCATTCCTCCCTTGCACTGCACACTCCTCCCTTCCTCCCCTTCCACCTAAGTGTAGCAGTAAGGGCAGGCTGTATATAGCACTAAAGCACCATGACACATTTCCACAATGGAAACATGTACTGTGACATATTAAGAAGCTTAAAGTGGTTTAAAAAGCTTGTAAATCTTCTTAAACTATAAATAAAAACATTATGATCACTACGACTATTATCATTTGTGGGTTTCTTAATTAAACTTGATTAAATTGATTCAATTTTGCCTTCTATAAATTGTCAGTGATGAACAGATAATGCTTATTTTAAATACTCCTACTGCTCACTCTTACAGTAAGAAACAGCATGCTGGTGTATGTGTTTATGTAAATATATACCATATTTAAGTTTGGTATCAAAATCAACAAAACATGAAATCTGACTAGGGCTATTTTGCATATTACTGTATTCGTTTATTTTTACAGTCTTTTCAAAGGCCTGCTAGTCTATCTACTCTCCAATAATGTCTTTTGGAACATTTTAAAGGCTATGTATAGCTTGCTATTGTTCGTTTAAGTTCATTTTTATTTAGTATGGGACGATAAGCAATTCTGAAAGAAAAATATCAATAAATAACGGCCTTAAATTCCACCCCACACAAAGACAGTGTTGCAGCAGAGCTTCAGCTCCCTGTGAGTCAGTGGATCTCCTTGGAATAGCAGTCCATCAGACTTCATGTGAAGGTTTCAGTGATTTGACTTGGTGTGAAAAGACCTCATGACAACAAAACATTATACCATAATTAAGCATGAAAAATCCTATTTCTGATGGTGTTTTCCCTACGTACCAGCATTCCAGTGTGTCACTCGCTCTCACCGGCAAATCATTGCTGCACAACCAGGACTGGAGTTTCAGATCACGGATCGGAGCGCAGAACTCTCAAATATACAATGGAAACAAAAAAACCCTTCAAAATCTACTTACTGATTTCGTGGCTATTATCGATCGTTTTCGGTAAACTGATAAGTGCTCTTAGCCCTATTTATATGGTTTGCCCCTAATGCTGATTACTTGAAGATTATTCATCAGAATTATCTGCACATGCATGGGCGTTGCTTGGCAAATTTTAGAGAGCTTTAGCCTCCTAAGTAAATGTACAGTACTAGTACAAATCATCTATAGTTCATTCTCCTTCACAATATATTGTAATAACAGGGTGCGACCTGGGGGAGGTGCTGCTGCTGCTGCTGCTACTTGAATGCAGCGCAGCCTCCGCTGTACTACCACAGCCTGACCAACGTAACGTTCAGCCAATCATATCAGACCTAATACTTTGTAAGCAAGGGGCTTTGCTGATGCACTGCAAAGAAATCGGTAACGGAGCTGAAGACAGGATTTTGGCTAAAAGCTCACTAAAACAAACATTAGACCTTATTCAAAATCTGTAACATACAGAGTGGAACAGTAAATTTATCCACCTACGATATGGATTTGTGGCAAATTATGGTCAGTACAACTGAATATCAGTTTTTACTTGGTTGCTTGTTAACTTTAGCTTACTAATTTTAGTTAACTTTGGGTTTAAGAGGATAGGCTAGCTAATTAGCTAGCCAGCTAGTTTAACCTCACTTCATAGTGAGCACGAGAGTGTGAACAAACAAGTGGGATAGAAATAACATTACTGAGAGCTCTTTATATTCTTTGTTTTTATATCTCTCTTCAGTATTTGGAAACAGTGACACCAGTATTTATCATGTATTGTTGTTTACAGTAAGTTAATGTCAGTGAAAAGGACGAGGCTGAATTGACTTCCTTTTCGCCAAATTCTTGTTCGAATTTTCCCAGCTGCAAGGAGCCAGAATGTAACAGCTGCAGAATTTAAGGTGGAACGGAAAATTCAAACAAGAAGCGACTTCAGCTTTGTGTGAAAAGGTCATCATAAGAGTTTTATATCACTCAGTTGCTCAACCTGTAGATGGAAACTAAGAGGCAGCAGCTCCGTCAAAGGTCAAAGCTTTTTACTAGTTAAAGAAACAAAAAAATTATTGATCATTATTTTTTTGTAAATCTGAGTTTAATAAAATTACTGGATTAAACACAGGATGAGAGGGAGAGAAAGAAGCTGAAGGACAGTGACAGGACTGAAGGAGCAGATCTGATGGAGGTTAGTGATCAAGAAGAAAGCGAGGGAGAGCTGCATAATCTTTCGGTTCAAATTAATACTTAATTTAATTTGACTTAACTGAGAAAATGTAATATTTGTCACCATGACCATGAAGTTCCGTCACCTAGCTTATTGAACATGCCTAAAAAATCAAGGTCTTTCTAACTGTTCCAACTGAAACTGATCTAAAATGTGTTTGGATGTTCTATTTAGCAACTTGCAGCTTATCTAATAGGGAGAAGAGAGTACTGCTTGACTAAAGTACCTTTGCTTGATCTGTGCCTGTTGTAAGTGGATGGACACAGTGTTCGTTATACTAGCTCTCTGCTTAATATAAACTATGCAGAAACAGATTTACTGTGTGCCAATTTGACCAAATAACCATTTTTTTGATATACTTAACACAGCTGATGTAGTTGACATTTTCTGGCTGCTGCTAGTCTAAAAGTGCATTACAAACATTTTGGGGCCATAAAAATAAATAAATAAATAAATAAATCTTTGGTGACCATGCCCCCAGACCCCCCAGTACAGGATTAGCCCCCCTATCCATGAACCTCTAGTGACACCCCTGCTGTTATCTATCATGACAGCCCTAATGATGGCACATCAACTTGCAAATTTCAGATACAATACAAAATAACTTTATAGCAGATACAAAGTTTATTTATAATGCTACTTGTTATGCAGCCCTAATCTTTTCCCACACCCAGAAAATTAAATATAAATCACCAAGAAAAAAGAAGAAAAAACAAACAAACAAAAAAAAAAACAGCTTTTCTGTGCACAGTTCATATATGGTTCCCCCTACATTCATAACCAGGTCATTACAAACATGTTCAGCTTCAGGCAAAATGAATAACACTTGCATATGCATTTAACAGCCATTGTTTGAAAGCTTTTTTTTTCTTTTCTTTTCTTTTTTTAAACACACGTAAGAGGTGTTGTCAGTACTTTACAGTTTTAGCCCGGTTAGAAAGAACGAAACCCCCGTTTTGCTCCCACCAAATAACAGGACAAGACAAATAAAACAGTCCTACACATGAACTTGTTCAGCTACAGAACAATTAGTGATAAAACAGTCCCTTAAGCCCAGTTTAGTCTGCATGGTGTTGAGACATTTGTCAGTTTATTAACACTACACAAGGGATGCTATGTGTTTCAAGTTATCAAAGATGCACAAGAAAGTCTTTGTCCTTAAGGGGTCACTAAATGGCACCCAATGAATATTGGCCAATTTAACCCAGAATGCCTGCCAACCAATAAAAACGGAAGTGATTGCTGGTGACGTATTTTGCTGAATAAATAATAATAAATAACATGTTATTCTATTATTATTCACTACTCACTAAAGATTGACAATGACTTTGCTGAGCATCTTTAAAACTATCACATCCATGTTTCACATTCGTCAGGTGAATTACAAGACACAAACAGACATTTTAACAGCTGGATATGTGACAATCTATTCAAACGGATGTGTTTGGAATAGCCTGTAAGATGACTCACTGAATTAAGTCACCCTTGAGATGTAGACATTAGGCACAGCTAAAGCAGAGGGTGGTTTCTCCACACTGTGCATGCTAGTTCACAAAACAGTCTAATGTGACCTACAGAACTGCATGCATAGCTTAGGATGATTTGGGATAGTTTTGCCTCCAAGAATCAACAATATTGATCTATCCATGCTCCACTTACTAATGCTTTCTTTTTTTTTCCTCTCTGTTCCCCATTAAAACATCCCATTTAAATAATAAAAAATTGTAATTTGTGGGTCTATACCACTAGCTTCTGTAGCATGGCTTAAAGGGATATTCCACTGATTTTTCTAAAGTTCTGCATAACTAAATGGTTAAGAAGTAAAACAGTCATTCAGAATGGGTTGCTGTGAAAAGCTTAATTCTAGAGAAGCTTACCAGAATCTAGTACTGAACAACAGTGATGAAAGGAACCAGACATGTGAAGTGTTCCTCTAAAAAGGTCCCGCACAGAAAGTTTTTACACAAACTGGTTACCAATAATAGCTGCCTGATGTCAAAGACATTGTTTTATGATAGTTTTTAATAAAGTTTGTCCAAAAACTTAAATCACGTCACAGTGGAGAGGTACATGTAGCACATACTAAGGCAAAATAGTCCCCAAAGAAAACACTGTTTTTGGATTTACTACTATTTTACCGTTATCAAAATACAAAATACATATAAAAACTCAGAAGACATGTGTGGGTTCACTGGTGGTTTTGAATAGTAAATAAAAGTTCCTTAGTCCTTAGTCACTCTACAATGAAGCAATTCACACCACAACCACTCGGAAAGACTTTGATTACACTGTAGCCACTGAAATTATGCACAGTTAAGTGGAATTCCCATTCAAGCTGCTCAAATGGATTTGCTGACTAAATTCTCCCTCCCTGAATAGGATTTCTGCCACTTTTCTGTAAAGCTTCATCCTCAGAACAGCTGCTACGGAACTGCATTTGTGGGCAGAGCATGCATAGATTCATAGAAAAAAAGCTTGTTGAGTAGATTCTAAGGAGGCATTCTACTTAAGCACAATATTTTGGCACAAAAGGCGAGGGAATCTGACAGCGCAGAATTCCCCAGTGTTCTCGAATGGCTTCATTCTCTAATGTTACTTTGCTGGCTACCATAAATAGGCGTAATGGAGTTACTGTTAATCCAGTTCAAATGACACTCCATCCTCAAAGGAGATGCCGATTGTTTTTAGTGAAAAATTTCCTCAAACTATCTCAGGTATATCCATTTAACTCACACTGCATTAGCTGTTATAGACAAGAAGTTTGACAACAGTTCTGCAATCCAGTTAAACAGCATCCAGGTCAGGCATACCACTATAAAAAGTGACTTGTTTACAGTCTGCAGGCTCTGTTACATCAATATGGACCTTTAACGTGAGGACAAAGCATACTCCTTCTCAACAGTCCATATTTTTTTCTTCTCAGTTATCATTAAGCAAGCAGATTAGCTCTGCTCCCACTTCTGAAAAAAGTCTTAGTAGGAGGCAGTCTCTATGTGGTGCCACCATCCAGTACATTACTCACCAATCTCAGTTCTTTCAATCAGTTTTAGTGCATTAGTCAAAACAGCAAGTTCACCAATGAGCCTTTTCCAACAGCCCAAAGGGGCCCTCTACTCCTGGGACCCTAAAAAAGTCAAAGGTCACACTATGTGTAGAAGATGACCTCAGGGATCTGTCCATCCTCAACGGAAGTGCCATTGTTGTTGCCAGCAGCGTAGCAGAACGTGAAGCAGGTTTTGGTTCCAGACCCTGAGGACTCGTGGGTAACCTTCCGCATCCCTTTGGTACCATAGTGCGAGTCTGGACCCTGTGAGAGCACAAAAACACACTCACTCCATCAACCAGCATTTGAGCATATTTTTTTAAAATGTAAATGTAATCATTTTAACATTACATGTTAATTACCAAATTATTACTTAATAAAGGTGTATAAATGCATTGCTGCATTGTGATGCATTAATGTGAAGGTGGAGATTCAGCTCCATCAATTTTTATATAATGGGATTCTAATAATATTCAATACAATATATGCTCATTCCCTGCCTAAAAAGAAACAAAATGATCTTGTGGTTGTACTTGTATGCACTCAGTAAGTTGTACCTTAAGAGTAGCACAGGCTGTGTAGTTTACATTGGGCAGAATCTCCACTGGCTCTTTAAACATGACCCGGAAGGTGTTTGATGACCCGTCACAGCTAAAACCTGTGTCATTCTGACCGAGAACTGTATTACTGTCTGTGTGAATGATCTGAGGAAAATAAATTCAGAAACTTGAATTAAAAAAAAAATGGTTAGCATACAGATCATCACTGTAATCACAGTTATACACTGTCATAATTAACTGTTAAATAATGAATACCATGGTCATGTTATGAATATATATTTATCCTTCACACAATTGCATTTACAACCTACAATTAAATGTTATTAATTTAGAAAAACCCATGTAATTCAACTAGTCACTCTTAAAACAACACACATGCTGGACTGTACCTGAATGTTGACCTGATAGTCTGTGGGTCCATGTATGGAACCATACAGTCCAAAACCCACAACAAATATCCTGCGGTTTACTGAGAACCTGTGAGAGAGAGGAGAGAGCAAGAGAGAAAACAGAGGAGGGGTATGATGTACTTGACATACTTGCAGTATCTCTTACACACAGTAAAAACACATAATAATAATCCTTCATTTTTAAAGAGCATGTCTGTGCAGGTCTCAAATAGATGTGGAAGAGTTTATCCATTAGAGTGGTACATGATCTCTCATAGCAGACCAGACAGTGCTGCCTAAAATTCAGCAATGATACAGAACAGTGAACTGTTCAAATCTTATCATTCCCACAGCCCTTGTCTGATCTCATCAATGGTTTAAAAATAACACAGGTGTAGCATGAGGTTTAGGAGTTACTTAAAGGCAGATGAAGATGTACAAGGGATATGTATGAGGGATATATGCTGATTTCATCTCATTTCTGAGACATGAAGCACAAAACATTTCTTAGGTCTTATATCTGAAGTGCCAAACTCTAGACAAATTCCACTGCTGAGCTGAGGTCATTCTTTGGAGCTCAGATGCCATTTAACATAGCTGCACAATGTGCATAATCGCTTTAAAAGTTGGACTAATATTTCTAAAATAACCATTTTGAATACACTACTTTCCAATGCAGAGTTTATCTAATCTGAGCAAATGACTCCTTTTTTGTCCTTCTCAGCTTTAAACAGCTTTTTTATGTGCCACTAGTTTAACTGTGTTTAGACGAAAGGTGGCTGGTTGGAACATGTCGAAAACACACAGTTTAGCGCTGGAGTTACGAGGCTAACGTTACTAGCAAATGCTAGAAGTAATAATATTCTGTTAATACATCCTCAAAACTTGTCTCAACCCCTACGAACTGCATCCAGGTCTTCATTAAGGTCACACACTGACTTGTCAATGTGTTTTAGGACACAATTGTGAGGTATTAAAAAAAGAACAAAAGTTCACCGTGTAGCTGAACGTGTGGGCAGACATTTTAGACCCCTAAGTGTGCATTCATATCACACAGGCAACTGGCTGCCTGCTGCATTCAGTTTAATGAAGACCTGGATGTGGTTTAACCGGGTTGAGAGAAGTTTTGGGAACGTGTTTACAGAAAGGATTTGGGTGAATATTGACATCTAGTGTTTGTTAACAATGTTAGCCTCATAACTGTATTGCTAACCCAAAACTTAAAATTTGGACACAAAAGTCTAGATGATTGACTACATGTGGAGTAAATGGAAAATTGTGTAAACCAGATTTTTTGTGAAACCATTCCTTTAAATTCTGAAAATCTGTCACACTGCTGCTAGTTTTGGATGTCCATTTAAGGCTTTGTTTGCACAGCAGGTGAAAGTGGCCCAAATCCGATCTTTTTCTTCATATGTGACACAGATGTGTTAAATGTATAGCAGTGTGAACAGCAAAACACACACCGAATCTGACATTTTCAATTCCAATTTGGGACACTTTCATATGTGGTACTGAAATTGGATACATACCCAGCATGCAGCAATGCCACTCAGTCTAAACAGCCAGATTGGAATTCAAGCGACTTTTATGTCAATCCAACTAGACATTCGTCATAATTTTGCACTGCTGAGACCTCATAAACATTGAGGCTGATGTTTCTGTACAAACAAAATTAGAAGACCTTCAAAACTGTTAAGTGTTCAAAGATATTTCATAAGAAATGGCCGAATGCGGTCATAGGGGACTGAGGCTGCAGCGTCAAAGAAAAGTTAAAAGTCTGAAAGCTTTGAAGAAACCAAGGATGCAAACCAAAGGAGTGGGTGTGGCTTAATAACATGCCCTTTTTACAGCGCCTGTGATGCTGGTGAAGATAAAACTGAAACCTCCCGAAGCAGCTGTTACTGTGAGTGTGATTTTGAGTGTTTACCTCTGAATGAGTGCTATATGGCAAAAGAGAATCCACATTATAATAGCCAATTTTGAACCATTACAGTCTGCCCAGTTCTGACCTTCCTAATGGACCTTATTAAGCTACTGTTTAAAATAAGTGAATTTGTGTACTTTTGTGCTCACCTGATACGGTCGCTGGTTCCGCTATATCCCCAACGGCTCTCCACCTGGCCGAAACGTGTGATGCTGCACTCTTTGCCACGCAGGCAGCAGCGTGGCCGGTCAATGAACTCAACACGTGGTTTGGGGTTTACTGTAAAGTGCAGGAACAGACTGACTACCTCCCTGTCCGTCAGGATGCCAGACTGTGCTGGACCTACACGCAGCAACATTCAAACACATTTATACCACTGGAGGAGGAAAATGAACATCAATTAATGACAGTCAACAGTAACCCAGTGGTTCCCAATCCTGGAACCCACTGCCGTGCACAAGGTGTTTTCCATCATTCAACCCCTGCACTCAACTAATTACTAATCCTTCATGACTTGAATCTGGTGTGTCAGAGCGGGGAAAGCCTGAGCCCCCTGTGCAGAGGGGTGGGTCCGCATGGCTGGGATTGAGAACAACTGGGTGTAATCCAAGAGCAACTGGCATGATGCGGTGTACCTGCAGCAAACTCCTCTATGGTCATTAAAGGGAAGCGGATGAGGGTGAGGGCTTTACCCAACACGCGTCTCTTGTTCTCAGGTGTGGGCTGGAGCTGCTGACGGTGAGCCTCGGCCTCAGCCCAACGCACCGCCGCACCGAACAAGCGCACTTCTCGCACCCCCAGCGTGTCCCGCTCGAGCACAGCAACTAGCGTGTCTGAGAGAGACAGCAGCATAAAGAGAGAAAGCTTTAAAATGGCCAATAAGTAGATATTTTTAATCCATATTTTACAAACCACGGTAAAGTTACTACTATATTAATGGTAGCAAGCACAGAATCTACCACAGTAAAGCGTACTAACTAGACGGTCCTCTAAGAAATGCCTGAAAAGCCTGCAACAAGTGTGACAGGGTTAAAGCAACACTTTATCCAAAATCCTGAACATAACCATCACTATTTCAAGTGTAAGCGTGCTTGCTCACATCCTGCAGCGGTGCCACAATGGTCCTTAGAATGAGGTTTTCTGGTTCAAAAACTACAAAAGACTCCTTCTGATGATGTATCTTTGTCAGATGAGGGGGACAAAAAGCTTAAAGCTAAAAGTTTTTATTGCATTGTAGTGAGAACACTGAAGATTAAAAATGTAAAAATGAAAAAAAAGTTTGAATTCTGTCAAACCGATAAGGCTTAGGGACACATTTTTGTGCTATAGAATTCTGCATAACATGACAAATAAAATATTTAACTCTAGTTTTAGTCCAGAATGCCACTTTAAGTCATATTTAGCTACTGTTCTAAGCCAGTGTTTCCCAATGCTGGTCCTGGAGGCACACTGTTTTCTCTGCAACCAACACACAACTCATTACTAACCCCTTATTGTGTTCAAGTGGTTGTGTAAAAGCAGGAAAAACACTAAAATGTGCAGGGCAATGTGCTTCAAGCACCAGTGTTGGGAAACACTGCTCCAAGCTATGTGGTAAACCATAGCTGAATAAATTTGGCTACTAATATGCTACTCAGATCGTTCTCTAAATCCAACATATAATCATACATACCCAGATCTATATCTGTGAAGCCTTCTGCAGCCAATGCATCACCAGTGTTCTTATCAATGTTCTCAAGGCACAGACTAGCCAGCTGGGGTTCGTCAAAGAGCCGTGCCTGGTGAAACAGATGTCATAAGTTAAAAATAAATGCAATATTTTTTTATGACAACAACATAAACTGCTTACAAAACTGATTAAAGGGATTAGACATATGTTATCCTCAGAGGGATAGCTCTAAATGCAAGAATCAATACTCAATATACCAAATAAATGTAAATTCACCTTGTTTTCATTATCCTTTTAAATAACGTGATCAGAACCCTTTATTATATACAAACATACAAAGGGAACTGTCTTGGCCACGCTTCAAATGTGTAAATGTAGGGATTTTTCTAAAGATTGGAAGAGAACCATACCTGTGTGAGGAGCATAAAGGCATTGTCAGCGCGCAGGTTCTTCTTGAGGAACTCCACACAGTGGGCCTCCAGGGCCGGAACAGCATATTTTTTTGCCGTGTACAGAGTGGTCATCACAGTCTCAGGCCCAATCTGGACCTCGTCAGAATACAGGAACCTGCATTTTGACCACAAGAATTCAAGCATTACTTCAGGAAATGCTACTGATGATTTATGTTGTTACTATATTCAAACATTTCTAATGGCATAAATCAATGTCTCACTTCAGCAAGGCCAGGAAAGCAGCAGGTTCTACATCAGGGAGCTCTATTTCTGTCGAAGTGGTAGCCATGCCGCCGTTAAACATGGCATCAAACACAGCACTGCCAACTGCCAACACAAACCTACAAACACAACAATACAGACAAGCAAATGTCAGCAACATTTTCTTAGGTTTTATGGGAGAATGGTCATTAAAAGTTTGCGTGCCTTTATTTGTGGAAAAAAAACACTTCATAATTCACTTCTACATGGACATCTTCCAACCTTTCTTTATCCCTTATAATTAAACAAGCAATTTGTATTACTGTGCCTTAAAGACTGTTATACATAAATTATTTATGTTATATTTCGTTGTCCTATTCAAGCTGAAACACTCCTTATAACTTAAACATGAATTGTTGGGGCTAAATAGGTGGATAAAAAAAGCACTGGTTTTCATGACATCACACAAACAATGAACTCAAAACAAGTTGTTTTCACAGCTAAGTGTCCGTACATGAACTGGGGAGTGAACAGTACATTTTGAAACTTTCACAATGTTTACATACTACATCAAAGTCTTTTCTCCAAAAAAATTAATTTCCATACGAGTCCTTTATAATACTGTCCTTTATGCTGACAGCTTAAAATTTAGCACATATGCCTCCAGACATAACCTAACAATCTTTGTAGATGTAAATATAAGCAATGCTACAAATCTCTGATTAAAAACATCCTTTTAATAAGAAACGTTTCATTTAGCCCACCACAGTTACCCTAACCAAACACCCTCATCCAATGAAAGAACAAACTAATTTTATACTGTATGTAGCTTAATGCACTTTTATTTTCCTTTTAAAATATATTTGTTTTTATTTGAAACCTACCTACCGTCTTTATTTGTATAATTATTTGTTATTTGGGCCCTCGTCCCATCCCACCGAAAACGCAAACCCTGCACTTTGGCACTCCTGATCCGATTGTTTATGCTAGCACATGCCACACAATAACAACAACGATAACACTCCGAAGTAATCTATTTGGTCTGTTTTTAGATTTAGTTAGCAGAAGCTGAGCTACCTATAGTCACAAAATAAGTGTTCCAATAAAAATAACATTAGAGAGCATTTTTGTTTACCTGTGTGCAGGTATCCGTTGCACGCCGAGTCCTTTGCCCACCAGAAAATGAACGTCACTCAGAACCTCGTTATTGAAGAGGAAGGCGAACCTTTCCTTCACGGTACTTTTCGTCGCTTGCCAGTTGTAGACGGGCTCTCTGTAAACCAGAACCGCCGCTGCAGCCGGAGCTCCTGAAGAGAGAGACGAATGGGTGGCCGGTACTGCTGCTGTAGGCGGGGAGTTCGAGGTCGAGGCCAGCATGTTGGTAGCGACGCTCGCCATGGACCCGCCGACCGCGGAGCCTTGACCCGCGGCCTGCGGGAGAGAGTTCCTTATGTTCGGCGGCAGCCCCGACGCGACACCGGTGCTTTCCGAGCCGCTAGGCCCCGACTGGGGGTTCGACCGTCTCGCTACACTCTGCGAGCTTCCGGCCGCACTAGCGGACCCTCCTGCGTTGTTTGTAGCCAAAGTGTACGGACTGTTGCTCGGCTGGCTGTTCCCTAGTGGTCCCGGGGGGGAGAAATTTAAACAGGGCGCCCGGCCGCTGTTGTCTCCCGCAGCCATCTTGAAGTTCTCGGAGGCGATGTGGTGCGGAAAACAAACCGCACACAGCAGCATCCTGCCAGCGGGGGAGGTTTAACCCGGACTTAAAGACAGAGGAGGGGGGATTGTTGTTGACTGATTAAAATAGACTTATTAAAGGGGGGTTTTATTAGTTTAGTTTAAAATGACAGATTATAAGGAAAAGCAGTTCTCAAAATCATCTTCTCTGCGTCAAAGTTCATATGAGGGCACGACCTTAAAGTAGAGAGTAAATTATTTCTGGAGTATATGTGGGCATCAAATATTATAATATTTAAAGCCTTTGCATTAGTACTAGGGCCTACATCATATCATGGAAAATCCTAATTTGCCAAAGAGAGTGGGTGGCCGGTACTGCCTTGAAGTAGAGAGTAATATATCTGTACAGTAAATGTGGGCATCAGAAAAGAAAACCAATTTTCCTAACTTTTATTAAGACATAAGAGTTTGATGTATAGTATGGAAACATTGTTTTGTAACATTTAGTTCATGCCCTAGTCCATATATGAAAACTTTTTTTTTATTTGTTGTCTTTGTGATGTCTTTACATATATGTATACCCAGCTATTCAACCCACAGGAGTTTAGCACTGCATCCCCACCACCTCATGCTGAAGTTATAAGTCAAGTATAAATTTCAGACTGGCTTAATCTGTGCTTTGAATGAGATCAAATAGCCAACTTTCTAAATCATTTCTGGCCTGTACTGACATGTTCAACTCACTATCTCTCAGGATCTTATTCTAATCAAGGTGTGCGTTTACCTTCACTTAATAGTCCAATGAGCGCAGAAAATCAGATTTTGTCAGGAATTTGTTTAACATGCACTAATCAGATAATGGGAAATTCTGGGTCTTCATGAGTCAGTCAGTAATCGGATTTCTGTTTTGCAAACAACCTATAAATTCACAGAATGAGACGTGATGTGAATTTAACATAGAATTCAAATGTCACTTTCAGTGTCAGTTTTTTTTTTAAATCGAGTCACTTTAGCGGAAAATATATATATACATCATGTAGATGATGAAAAACATTCAAATTCTTCATTTCATCAAGCATGTATTTGGTTTCAGTGTCGCTCCAAAAGTGTTTTGTAGCTGTTTCCGGGACAGCATTCTGTTTTCACGCATGCACAGACTTTAAACCCAATTACCGAGCTTAAGGCTTTTTAGGCCTTAATCCGATCTAAGAAATCGGAGTATGCTGTTTGCATGACCACTTGAATAATCAGATAACTGCCAAAATCTGATAATCGTCATATTATTAAGTGCATGTAAACATACTCAAGGTGTCTTAGTGGTATTACTCACTTGTACACAGCAAAGAATTCAGTTATGTAACCAGAATTTGATTCTAGCACAAAAATACACGTCAAAATTAAGTGAAAAAGCAACATAGGCCTATAGCAGCAGATGTTGATATAAATAATTCATGTTATATTAATAATATAGTTTATATAAAATGTACAATAATATGTTGACTTAGGTTTGAAGTTCGCTTTTAAAATGATGGTGGTACGTGAGTAATGAGTTCAGGCAGGGGACTGATGTTTTAAAAGATTTATCTCAAAATACAACAGTAGTTCTAGTAAAAGTCGCTTCTTTCCTATTATGGTTAAGTATCTTCCGAAGCAAAAGTTAGAAAATCATAGCCCCAGTAATGGGTGAGATATCAAACTGAATACATGTAGGCAAATCATTGAAAATAACTTTGGCCTTTAGCAACAAGCAAGACATTCTCTTAACTCTAGATCAAATATATAATTCATCCTAAGTTTAACTGCTGTCATGGCTGTAAAATCCTGCAGGCTTAGAATAACACTTTTGACTACAAGCCAAGGTCACAAGCTCTCGATGTTCTCAAACTTAGGAAAAGCCCTGCAGCAGCAACTGACAGCTCCATCCTGTAAGCACATAAATAGAACAGAAACAAGGCTCATTTAAGTAAGCAGACAAGATATTCACTGAACCATGCAGAGCAGCGCCAGACCTTAAAAGGAATATTAGACTCAGTAGGGTTAATATCCTACAACAATGTCCTTACCCACAAAACTGGTTCAACACTCATTCGAACATCCACTCATTCGAACATCCAAGTTCTGCACACAATCAACCATACATGGAATAGGAATCAACATTAAAGAGGAATTCCACCAATTTTTCAAAACATCTGTGGTTGAGAAGTAAACAGTCATTCAGGGTGGTTTGAGAAATGGTTAATCAAACTTACCAGGACACATTGGTGGTGGCGATGGGAATCAGGGATCATAACTCAAATATAGCCCTTTTATTCACTATCCAAAAACAGCAGTGAATCTATACCAGTCTTCTGAGTTTTTATATACACTATATGGACAAAAGTATTAGGCACTTACATGTTACACCTACAGGAGCCTTTATGATGTCCCATTCTAAATCCATAGGCATTAATATGGAATTGGTCCCCCCTTTGCAGCTATAACAGCTTCCAGTCTTCTGGAAAGGCTTTCTACAAGATTTTGGCTTGCAATCTCCATTCTAGTTCATCCCAAACGTGTTCGATGGTGTTGAGGTCAGGGCTCTGTGCGGGCCAGTCAAGTTCTTCCATCCATGCTTTTATGGATGTTGCATGGTGCACTGGGGCTCAGTCATGCTGGAACAGAAAAGGGCCTTCCCCAAACTGTTCCCACAAAGCTGGAAGCAGACAATTGTTCAAAATGTCTTGGTATGCTGAAGCATTAAGATTTCCCTACTCTGGAACTCTTGGCCTAGACCAACCCCTGAAAAACAACCCCATAGCATTATCCCTCCTCCACCGAACTTTACAGTTATCACAATGCAGTCAGGCAGGTAACAGGTAAAAGGACGAAATTTCGCAAACTGGCCTGTAACGGTGGCAGCCTATTACAGTACCATGCTTGAATTCAGTGACCTCTTTAGAACGACCCATTTTTTCACAAATGTTTGTAAAGGCAGACTGCATGGCTAGGTGCTTGATTTTATACACCTGTGGCAATGGGGCTGAATGAATCACCTGAATTCAATAATTAAGAGCTGTGTCCCAATACTTTTGTCAATATAATGTAAAATGTTGATAATGGTAATAATGGTAAATAATGGTAAAATAGTGGTTTTCTATGGGTACTGTTTTGCCTTACAACATATACCTCTCTGTCATGAATGGATGTAGAAATAGATGTTTTAGGCCAAAATCTTATCTCAGAACTGCTGTAAAACGGTATCACAGGCATCAGGCAGTGTATTCAAACATTTTATGTAATAACTTTTTGTGGGGGAAGTTTTTAGAGGCATTACGCTCATCAGTTGTCTGGTTCCCATCACCACTGTGAACAATTCTGGCTTGGAACATTAACACCAAAACACTCTGGCTGACTTTGTTTACATCTTAACCATTAAATTATTGTGAAAATATCCCCTTTAAATAAATTGTTACACTTTATTCAAAGGCAACCTACAAACTATATAACACATGCATAAGCATTGAATAACTTACTTATTAAAGCGATATTTGCACATATAGAAACACTTTATGCTAGTAATTGACATTGTGTTGACATAAGAGACCTTAAACTAAAGTAACACACATTTGTTTTGTTATGAAGCAGCATTCCAAGGAAATGAAACTAATAAGGCAGTGGCTTGTTTAAGAACACAATGGAAAACATCTATGACAGTTACCCCTTAAAGGTATATGGCACAAGCATATAAAAATTTTCCAAGGAATTGATATGTGGTTCTCTTATTTACATGGGAATGATGCTTCATCACAGTATATAAACCAAATAAACATACTTCCTTTTATTTTTAGGCACTTTATGTACAACCCTATTTCCAAAAAAATTGGGATGCTGTGACAAATGTAAATAAAAACAAAACGTGCGAATCATTTGAACCCTATATTTCATTGAAAATAGTACAAAGACAATGTAACAGATGTTGAAACTGAGAAATTTTATTGTTTTTTGAAAAATATATGCCCATTTTGAATTTAATGCCAACAACATGTTCCGAAAAATTTGGGACGGGGGCAACAAAAGGCTGGTAAATTTGTGTAATGCTAAAAAAACACCTGGTGGTTAATTGGCAACAGGTCAGTAACATGATTTGGTATAGAAAAGCATGCCAGAGAGGCTGAGTCTTTCAGAAGTAAAGATGAGGATGTGTTCACCCCTCAGGATAACTGCACAATTAAATAGTGCAACAGTTCAAGAATAACATTTCACAACATAAAATAGCAAAGAACTTTTGCTTTTCATCATCTGTGGTACATAATAACATTAAAAGATTCAGAGAATCCAGAGAAATACAAGTGACAAGGCCAAAAACCAGTATTTGCTGGCTGTGATCTTTGGGCCCCCACTGCATTAAAACCAGATATGATTCTCTAATGGAAATCACTGCATGGGCTCAGAAACACTTCTGAAAACCACTGTCTATGAAAACAGTTCATCACGGCATGTACAAATGCAAGTTAAAACTCTAAAATAGTATCCATGATGGTGTAGGGGTGCATTAGTGCACATGGCTTGGGTGACATGCACATCTGTTAAGGCACCATTAATGCTGAACAATATATACATGTTTTGGCAACATATGATGCAATCTAGATGACGTCTTTTTCAGACATTCTGCATGTATTACAACAGCATGGCTCTGTATTAAAAGAGTCCAGACGCTAAACTGACCTGCCTGCAGTCTAGACCTGTCACCCACTGATAACATTTGGCACATTATGAAGCAAAAAATACGACAAAGGAGACTCCGAACTGTTGAGCAGTTGAAATACTATATCAAACAACAATAGGAAAACATTTCACTTTCAAAACTACAGCAGTTGGTCTCCTCAGTTCCCAAACGCTTACAGAGTGTTGTTAAAAGAAGAGGTGAATGTTTTTTTTAAACGTGTTCTTGGCATCAAATTCAAAATGGGCATATATTTTTCAAAAAACAATACAATTTCTCAGTTTCAACATTTGATATGTTGTCTTTGTAGTATTTTATTAACATTATTATTATTATTATTATTATTATTATTATTATTATTATCAGTAAGTAGGGGCAAGAGGACAATTTTCAAATTCTCAACATATGTACATTTGCAGTCATGTTTTGGCTCTGGTGAATTGCTAAACAGTGTTTGGTCAGGACAATTTTGCTGACACCTGCCGGACAGAAGCGGAACATGCGCACTGCATCACTCCAGACACTGCAGCTGCGCGTGTTCAGTGCTGAAGGCGAGCGGCCTCTCGGCCACGCTTCACCATGTGGGACCTTTCCCCTTTATTTATTTCACAACAAAACTAAAAGCATTTCATTGTTGTTGGAATGACCAAATAGGACCTTCGCGTAATCAGTGCAAATCTCAGGATCCCTGATGCTGTCAGCGTCTGATGTAATCTGTCCTTGTGTTACCTGACTTAAAGATCACGAGGCGTTTTCACTGTACAGACCTGTTATCTGCAAAATCATTACTCGCGTAGATTCAGCTCGGATAGTAATTACATGTGGTATTAATGATTATATTCATTAAGCTCTATTAATATTTTAATGCAAGGCGATTTTATTAACGTGTTTGTGTTAATGATATATTAATGCGTTTGTACTGAGGTGACTATGTTAACCCATTAATTTCTGACAACTTAATTTAGTATGTTGAGGTAAAATGCCATGTAAGGACTTTGTTGTTTTGTTAAAAATCAGGTGTCCCACGTGACCAAAAAGACTGACATTAATGTGCTACATGAATTAATAGAGACTCGCATTTATTTTTCTTTGATCTATTTCTTCATATTAATGTTCAGGTAAGATCAGAAAACATTTAAAGCTTCAGATGTGGGCATTAATGGGTTAATGTGGTTGTATTAATGATCCATTCGATCATTAATTATGTGTTTTTGTTTAGATCCAAATCAGTAATTAATTATGTGAGCTCATGTGAATGACTGTATTAATGAGGTTATAATGCAATGTGATCATATTAACATGATTATACTAACGATCCATAATGTAATAAACATTAATTATATATGAGCTTTTTTTATTAGATCCTGTTCCTCTGGTAGCACGAGCCCCCTCTCCACATGTTCTGTAACTTTTCTGCACTGCGATCCTGCGGATCTGCGCGTGCGTTGGTGCGTGGGTGCGTGCGGGGACGCGTGCCAGCGTGGGCTGTGGGAGAAACCCCGTGACGTCACGGCCCGAGCTGTCCGGTGCTGAAACAAGATGGCTGTGCGCTAGTAAGCGGAGAACTGAGAGGCTGCTTACAGAGAGCACGAGCACCGCTGGAGAGCAGGTTGCAGCTGACGTGTGTGTGCGTAGAAGTGTGTGTAAGAGAGAAAGAGCGAGCGAGAGAGAGAGAGAGAGAGAGAGTGTGTGAGTGTGTGTGTATGTGCGCGTGTCTGGGTTGTGTCATGAGTGTGTGGTGAGCGTGGGCGCGCGCGGATCCCTGCAGCCCGTGCGGAGCAGCGGGAGAGGAGAGAGGACCGAGCTCCGAGCTGCTCACAGCCATGTCCCTGCTGTGTGTGGGGGGTAAGTGGACACATCAGCGCCACTCTGATACACCTCTGTGTGACTTAGTCATGTTTGTAGATCTGTTTATTATGTGCTGTTGTCCTGCCAGAGTTCAGCAGGGCTTTAATTGGGGTCACTGTATGATTTAGGAAAAGGTTTTAGTTGTTTTTGATAAAGGTTTTGTGGGACCCTTGATGGAGCAGCTGTATATATAGTTACATTATATAGTACAATTGATAATACAATATATAGTACATATAATACGGTATATAATATGCCATGTTATACGTGCTGTCAGTATACTATGTAGTATTACACTGCATTCAGTACATATCTATAATATATACTGAGTGCAGTATACATTATAGACTATGTCTATATAGATAGATAGATAGATAGATAGACTCTTGCTGAAGATACTTTAATATGCTATATATATATATATATATATATATATATATATATATATACATACTATCAGTATACTATATAATATTACACTGCATTCAGTACACACACACACACACACATATACTGAATGCATTATATATATGCATCATATATACAGTATATACTGAGTGTATAGATAGATAGATAGATAGATAGATAGATAGATAGATAGATACTATTATGCAGTGTACTGTATAGTATACTAACAGTATGTATACGTATGTGTAGTATGTATACTGTACTATATGCTATACAGTATAGTATATACTACAGTGATATGGTGATATGCTTTAATATATGGTGGGGTCGTAGTAATGTGTATCAATTGCAACTGTCTCTTTTCTGAAGTGCTAAGCTTCCTGTTCTTCTTCTTGTTTGGCTGAATATATTCTGCCTGATTGTGTTTCTGCATTTTTCTGACTGAAACTGATTTATGAAGCGGTTGTGCTGATATGACAATATTCCAGTGTTCCACTCTGCACCTGACTCCGCAGTCTGCAGTTTGATGAGTCTCACCTGTAAACCCATTTGTCTGTGTTCTCTCTCAGTGTGCCCGGTTTAAAGGGAGACCGTATGAGTTTGCCGCAGCGTTCAGAGCTTTATAATGATGTGGGAATGAGCGGGGGGAGCAGGGCAGTGGGAGTAAAGAGAGGGAAAACAGGAAAGAAGAGAGGAGAAAGGAAAGCGAGGGGAAAGAAAGAGGGAGAGAAAAGAGAAGAAAGGGAAGAGCAGGAAGAGGGCAGAGGGTAAAGGAGAGAGGATAGGAGAGAACAGAAGAGAGAGAGAGAGCTGCTTTGTCTCTTCTCGGACGTGAGGGAATCCTGTGGGTGTACGCGCGCGTGAGCTCGCGCTCTGCCTCAGAGTGACGTGCCTCTCTCGCGCTGAAATGAAGCAGCTGCGCGCGGTCCTCGTAGTCAGGAGAAGAGCCGTCAGCCGCGCGCGAGAGGCTAGAAAATCAGGATTAGAAACGGAACTGAAACAACAAACAACAGCATTTCTTACAAAACGTCGTAGAAAACAGGGATAAAATCACTTTCAACGTCCAGAGCGAAAACTTCAGTTTGAAATGAGGTTAACTGGCTGATAACGTTAGCCAGCTATTTAGTTCCGGTTAAACTTTTTTAAAAATAAATGCAACAGTGACTGATTTGGTGGTGTTAGCGTTTTTAGAGGACAACACTCTTAAAAAGATGGTTCTTTAAGGGTTGTTTAGTAAAGAGAACCAAAATGATTGCTCTCTTGTTACGATGTCAAGCTTGAAACAGTAGCAGAACCCTTTTTGGTGCTGTACAACCTTTTTCAAAAAGGTTCTATATAGGACTACACACTATATCTTATATTCTTCATTAAATCATTTCATCATTTAAGCATGACATCGTTCTATATAGAACTCCTGGTTCTAAATTGAACCATTGCCTTTACTAAAACCCTTGAAGAACCATCTAGGTGTGTATTATATGTACAGTGTGCTACATATTAACCTTTTTTGTGGATTATTGCAGTATTTTAGTTCAGAATGAATCAGAATTACAAATGATTAGTTTCTAATCCCTCATTCTATGAAAATGAACAGGAACAAAGTAGCGTTATTAACCTTAAGCTAAAGCTTAAACGTTCCCCTCAATCTTGCTCCTGTTTTTGTTTACGTTCCGTGAAAAATGTTCTTTTTTAGTTTCTGTTGTCTGTAGGCTACTATTTGTAATCCCTGCATGAGAGACTGGCGGAAACATTGATTTCTCACACAGCCTCAGACGCCCTTGACCTTCTCTTTACATCATATGCTTTATGGTACATGGCCTTATGGCTTATGCAACGCTCTTGAAATGAAGGGAAGACACATTATTGTTCGTATCACGTTAAACCTCTCTTTCTGTACAGGCCAAAAATAGATGAATGTGTTCACTCCCTTTGAGTGCTGCATCTGTAAGATAGCAGGGGCTAGATGAAAGCTTTCAGACACTGATCCACTAGACATACTACGAGCACTGTCTTCGTGGTCTCTTCTGCCTTGTACAGGGGGATTCTGACAGCTTTGGTTTGAGATCCCATCTCTCTTTGAGAAATTTATCTCCGCTCTGCTGGCTCTCAGCTTCCTGACCAGTAAATCAGTGAGAGAGGGAGAAAGTGAATGAGAGTGAGAGAGAGAGAGAGAGAGAGAGAGCGAGAGGAGGGGGAGGAGTTAAAACAAGGTCCATGAGTAAGGTCACAGCCAAAGAGCTGCTCTGCTTAGAGTGAATAATGAATGAATGAGTAATATGGAAGGCGGCGATATGGTCGATGCCATATTTTACTGCTCTCAGCAGGGTTTCCGGAGCTGTTACAGTAAACCTAGCTGCGCTAGTTTACGTCTAAGGTGACCAGAAGTCTGGATGGATGTTAAATTATATCAGTATAATGCTTCTCATTCAAGAAAGTGAGATATCAACTGATAGCATATGCTTTAAAGAAGAACACTTCCCTGTGACTGAAATCGGGCACTATACACTCTGACACTATTCACTAAACTATCTAGTGCCTGGATTTTTGTAGTGTAGTATTGTCTATAACACTAAATACACTAAATTTAAATGGCAAATTACCACCACTTACCTCACTGAATGTTAGCAAGTCAAGATTAGCTATAACATGCCCAGTTACCATTAACATGTGGAATCCTTATCGCAAATAGGTTTATGCAAATAATGTTGTGTTATGATATAGTTTTTGAACAACAAAGCCATATAATTGTAATTTGTACATTTTGAAAATTTCAAGCTGCAGCTTGTTTTGGTGGCTCCACCCCAACAATTGCAAAATTCAGTTGTCAAGATGTAAACAAAGTCATTCAGAATAGTTTGATGTGAAATGCAGCATTCTAGAGAGACTTACCAAGTTAGAATTCAAAGCACTGGCGATAGGAACCAGGCCTCTGAAGCAGGAATAATTCAGCCAAAAATCTACCCAATTTTCCACTTGCCATGGATGTAGTCAATCGGCCAAGACATGTTTAGAGTCCAGATTTTGCTTCTTTATTTTAAAACTGCAGCTACAAGGCTAACATTGCTAACAAACTGTGGAGCTCAATAGTCACCCAAATAGCCCAAATCGTTTCTGTGAAAAAAAACATCCCCAGAACTTCTCTCAATCTGCTCAAACAGCATCCAGGTCTTTATTAAGGTCGTGCAGACTTGCTGATGTGGTTTAGGAGACAGTATGACTCACTGTGTGCTACGACTATGAGCAAAACTCTTGGATCAGATTCCTCTATATTTATGATGATTATTGTTACAAATACTGGGCCTCATTCTCCAGTATCTTCCTATGTTTGGTCTTAAATGTGTTCTTGAGAAAGGTCCTAAGAAAAAGTCTACGTCAGATTCATAACATGTTCTTAAACCACAGAACTGTTATCACCTTGCTCTTGAGTGTGTGTAGATTCTGTTCTTATCTAAGAACAAATCCCAAATAAGTGGGTTTAAGAAGAAATTACCTCTTAAAATGGTTCTTAAAAACAGTGGGGGAATGAGGCACACTGATTCTAGATTAGCTACTGCTCCTAAAGTGGTTTGTGAATACAGATAATGTTGTTTTGGAGATTGAAACTATATTTGGACCAGTGCATTTGCATTGTAGACATTGTGACCCCTGGTTCCTATCACCAATGTAGGAGAACTCCACTGTAAAGAACTCCAAGCCTGTAAGTTCCTCTACAGTGAACCACTTCACATCAAGCTACTCTGAATGACTTTGGTTACACCTCAAGAATTGAATTAAGCAGAAATTTTGAAAAGTCTGAGGAAGCACCCTGTAATTTTTCAGCAGTTCTAGTTTAATTTTAATTGTAAACACTTTACACATTGCTGTATGCTACAGAAGTGTTCATGTGCATTGTGTACTTGGTGTTTATATACATGTGACATAACAGAGACAACTGTCACCTACACACTTTCATCCATTTCTCACCTCAACAGAGGATTTAATTATATGGTTGTGTTACATAATGTATGCCTCTCTCTCTCTCTCTCTCTCTCTCTCTCTCTCTCTCTCTCTCTCTCTCTCTCTGTGTTTATGGTGATGTAATCCTTTTGTATTTTCTTTTGTGTTGCAAGTCCTATAACATCCTCCTCTCACATACAGCTTGTGGGAGTCTATCCGGATTTATGTAATAAAGTAAGGGCTTACATGCCTAGCTTAGGCGGCTTCAGTATAATCGGAGCATTCCTATGTGGAAGGCAAGTGCAAATGTTGAAAACATTGTTGGTGATTTTGCCTTTGCACTAAGGAATTATTAAAACAATATGAGTCAATCTGATCAAATCAATCTGAGAAGACTAAGCAACCAAATGGTACAACTGAAGCAACCAAATTATCTTGGAATGTTTTCAGTTTTTGGTTAAAACTGCACACATGTAGCTATCAGGATTGGATGTACTAAGAGTTCTAACATATATTTTTCATCAGCAGATATACGAGTAAACATATGATTAGTATTATTGACAAAAAACAATATTGACCCCAATCAGTTCATCTCTAACATGCATAGATGCAAGGAGTTTTTTCAAGCCATTCTCATCATGAAATAAGTGATT